CACACTGCTGGCTCATATTTAGGTGAATAAATAAAAATAATCCAGGTCATAAAGGCAAAGAAATCTGTGGCTGGTCCTAGGGCCAAATAAATCCCCAATAAATCCAATTCTGCAGCTCTGAGGGCAGCATTGTGTCTCAACACCCTGATATGCCAAGCCAAGATACAAGAATCAGGAGTTTGATTAAGTGAAGGACACACAGTGGTTACCTACTTGAATAATGAAAGGTTTGCAAGCAAACAAACAATCAAGGCCAAAGAGTACGAAGCAACCTCACAATTCAGCCTTTAGCTACAAATATTCCCATCCCCAGGTAGTCCTTGACTTATAACCACAGCTGGGAGCAGAGTTTTAGTTGCTAAGCAAAGCAATGAAGGGAGTGGCACCCCATTTTATGACATTTCTGTCGCGGTTGTTAAACGAATCGCTGCAGCTGCGAAGTGAATCACACGGTCGTTAAGCGAATCTGGTTCCCCCCGTTGTCGGAAGCTGGCTGGGAGGGTGGCGAATGGCGATCACGTGACCTCCGGATACCACAACCATTGTAAATACATGTTGGTTGCCAAGCAACCGACTCTTGATCACATGACCTTGAGATTATTGAGACGGTCATAAGTGTGAGCACAGTTTGTAGGTCGCTTTTTTTCAGCACCATTGTAAACCGTTCAGAAAGGCCACTAAAGGCGTGTGTGGTTGTAAGTTGAGGGCCACCTGTATTGATAGACAGAGGAGTACAGGTAAGTCCTCGTTTTATAACAGTCCATTTAGCGACCGTTCGAACTTACAACAGCACCGAAAAAAAGAGATTTAGGACCCTTTTTTCACACTTACGACCGTTGCACCCTCCCCGTGGTCATGGTGTCAAAATTGGCAACCGACTCATATTTACGACGGTCGCAGCGCCTCTGGGGTCACGTGATCCCCTTTTTACGACCTACTGACGAGCCACATCAGCGGGAGGGAGGGGGGAAGCCAGATTCACTTAACAACCGTGTGACTGTGGCAAGCAAGGTCCCTGAACACCTGTCTCGCTTAACGACCGAAATGTTGATCTCAGTGGTGATCGTAAGTCGAGGACCACCTACATATTAGCAGCAAGCCTTCTCGGTCATCAGCAAAAGGAGCCGAAATTAACATTATTTAAACGATTCCATGGGACATCCCCCCTCTTAGGAAGAAAATCTCAGATTCCCAGGACGCCCAGACTGGAGAAGCAGGAGAGGGGAGGGGGGGGGCTGTTGACAAAGAATAATAATCAAAAAGACAAATACACCAACAAGCCATCTTTTTCCCTGTCCGTGTCAGGCTTAAGCGTCCCTCCCCGTCCCCCCCCCCTCCATCAGGCCTATCTGTGTTCATTTCATCCACCATTCTTCTTCCGTTGTCAGATGGGCTTGCGGGCACCCCCTCCCTTCCCCCTGCCCACCCGGGGGTCCCCACGGGGAGGGAAGACCGCTCTCCTTCCGTCTGCCTCACATAACCCTTTAGCCCAGGAAAGCAGCGAGTTCATTTATTCGTGCTGGAGCCTCAGCAATTCATTTATCTCTCTTTTTTCCTATATCTCTGACAGCTTGACATGCCGCCCGGTTCTCACCAATGCCATCGCAGGGGGGGGGGGGCGTGCACACGCACAGGCACAAACACACACACACACACACACACACACACACACACACACACACACACCCCAAACAGAAGCCCTGGGCTCCTGCATTCTACATTCCTTCTCATCGGCCTTCTCATTCCACAATTTAAATTTTTTTTTAAAAAAAATCTGGAGTTGGTATTTGGGAGCTATTTTTGGTTTTTTACTCTAATAATTCCAGTCACAGTATTAATGATTGTTGTTTTATTTAGGCCTTTTAGGTTTTGTATTGTTTTTATCTTTCTTTCTTTTTTTAAGATTGTAAGCAACAGACGTTTTGGGCTCTGTTATGGCCATAAATTGAGAATTACCTGACCAGTGACTTACAAAAATAGACTCCAAAACTCCCATGTCCTCCAGTGTTGTGGGTGCTCCAGCATGGGAGGTTTTTAAGAAGAGACTGGTCAGCCCCTTGTCTGAAATGGTACAGGGTCTTCTGCGTGAGCTGGGGGTTAGACTAGAAGATCTCCAAAGTCCCTTCCAGCTCTGTTATTCTGATGGTAGATAGATAGATAGATAGATAGATAGATAGATAGATAGATAGATAGATAGATAGATAGATAGATAGATCTAATAATATAATGGATAAATGATAGATGATAGATGATAGATAGAAAGCAGGTACATAGGTGGATAAGATAGATAGATAGATAGATAGATAGATAGATAGATAGATAGATAGATAGATAGATAGATAGATCTAATAATATAATGGATAAATGATAGATGATAGATGATAGATAGAAAGCAGGTACATAGGTGGATAAGATAGATAGATAGATAGATAGGTAGGTAGGTAGGTAGGTAGGTAGGTAGATCTAATAGTATAGTGGATAAATGATAGAGGATAGATGATAGATAGAAGGCAGGTACATAGGTGGATAGATAGATAGATAGATAGATAGATAGATAGATAGATAGATAGATAGATAGGTAGATCTAATAATATTAGATAGATAGATAGGTAGATCTAATAATATAGTGGATAAATGATAGAGGATAGATGATAGATAGAAGGTAGGTACATAGGTGGATGGATGGATGGATGGATGGATGGATAGATAGATAGATAGATAGATAGATAGATAGATAGATAGATACATACATACATACATACATACATACATACATACATACATACATACATTGACCAGCAAGGACATGGGCTTAGGACCATGTGAGTCGAAGGCTAGATGGACCCATAGCTTAAACAGAATCGGTCAGTTGATGCTGAGGGCCTGATTTCAGCTCAGTCGGGGACCATGTATGACTTTCTGTGTTAGGCAAATCTAGAAAATTAGCCTGAGTTAATCCATGAGTAGTCACTCTCTCCATTTTTTAATGTTTGCTCTCTGCATCCCTGAGCAAACACGCTCTGCCGCTGATCTCTCCACCACATACGTCGAGAATCCAAAGTCCAGAAAGTTTAGCAATGGGAAAAGAAAGATTTGCCTTGGCAAATATTTACCTACCGCTACAGAATACGGAGCTGAGCGCAACTTTCTCAAACCTCTAAATACGTCAAACCGCAATGCCGATATTTCCAGGCTGGCCAAAAATTATGCGATTGTGTGGGAAGTGTTCTTTGCATCATTCAGCGAGAAGCAACCATGATACCTGTAGACCCGGTAGCTTTTTTCTCTCCGAGAAGAAGCAAGTTATTTTTATTTTAAAAGGGGGTCGGGTGGAAATCGCAGAGATAAAGTTCTCTGTCCCTTGGACCCAAATTATTCCTTTATTCTACGTACAGGTAGTCCTCAATGTATGACCGCCATTAAGCCCAAACTTTCTGTTGATAAGCGAGATGTTTATTAAGTGAGCTTTGCCCCATTTTGCGACCTTTCTCGCCACCGTTGTTAAGCGAATCACCACATTGGTTAAGTTCGGGTCACGGTTGTTAAATGAATCCAGCTTTCCCACGGATTTTGCTTGTCAGAAGATCGCAAAAGGGGAACACGTGACCCCGGGACATCGCAACCGTCATAAGTACACGCCAGTTGCCAAGCGTCTGAATTTTGATCACATGACCATGGGGATGCTGCAACGGTCGTTAAGTGTGAAAAGTCACTTTTTTGTTATTGGAACTTTGAACGGTCACTAAATGAACTGTTGTAAGTCCCAAACTACCTGTATTACATTCTGACTTTCCTTTTGGGCTGCTTTTTGGCGTGAAATCAATCTCTTCCTAATATCCCTGCAGGTTCTGGAGGAGAATCAGTGCAATAAGTGATCCCAACATCCAACATTTATACATTTGCCAGAATGTATAAATGTATATATATATTAAAAAATCTCACTTATTATTCCAATCATCTTCTCCTAGTAGCAGATCCAGCCCTTCCGGTTTGTCATCTCTGCTTCGAGAACTGTCTGGTTTGGTACCGCGACTAAACAGGACCGATCCAGACTCAACGGACAGTCATAAGTCACCTTTTTCAGTGCCAGTGTAACTTTGAACAATCACTAAGCGAATTGTTGAGGACGACTTCAACTTGCCTCCCAGAAGTTGTGAATGCTCCAACACTGGACATTTTTATGAGGAGACTGGACAATCAATTGTCTGAAATGGTACAGAGTTTCCGGCCTGAGCAGGGGGTTGGACTAGAAGACCTCCAAGGTCCCTCCCTATTCTATTCTATTCTATTCTATTCTATTCTATTCTATTCTATTCTATTCTATTCTATTCTATTCTAGTCCAGTCTAGTCCAGTCCAGTCTATTATTCTATTCTATTCTATTCTATTCTATTCTATTCTATTCTATTCTATTCTATTCTATTCTATTCTATTCTATTCTATATTCTTTTCTATTCCTACTCCTACTCCTATTGCTATTCCTAGTCCTATTCTATTCTATTCTATTCTATTCTATTCTATTCTATTCTATTCCTCCATTCCATTATTCTATTCTATTCTATTCTATTCCTATTTTATTCTATTCTATTCTATTCTAGTCTATTCTATTCTAGTCTAGTCTAGTCTAATATAGTATAGTCTTATTATCTGTATTTCCTTGTTTGAAAAATCAACATTGTTTTTTTTCTAAATCATACCCATTAACTCCATTTCTTTGGCAAGGTAACATTTCACCATCTCATAGTTGCCCCACCTGGTTTACTCATGTTTTCCCTATCAATTCAATTTGAGCACAGCCCCTCCGACATTCTCCGCCCTAGCAACAAAGTTTATATAACAGCTGGTCTTTGCCGGAACCAAGTTTCTTGACTAGAGACAGCTGGTCAACAGAAAAATCTGAGGTTTCGGTGTTTTGGTTTTTTAAAAAAAATACAGGTAAGAGAATGTACAGGAAGCCCGTGTGGAAATGTTTGCAATTCCTCTGTGGGTGCCAAGTTTTGGGACCAGGCGGGAGAATAAATACGAAAACTTTGAGGTGTCTCTGGGCTGCCTTCTAGAATTGTGTGTTTTGTTTCCAGCTCATAAATTACTTTTGGTTAAATTGGGCTGGATGGTTTGTAGTTTATTATGTTAAAAGAAACTAGAAACGACACGTGAGGGTGGGGTTTTTTTGGGAGTAGGTTAATAGTAGAAAGAAGAATAAGGAAGGGGTGGATCCATTGTGAAGAGAAGAATGATAGGATAGGAACTGGTGACAAAGGGTTGAGTGCTTTAAAGCTTACTGTGGTGTCGTTGGTGCTCTCTGAGCTTGGTTATTTTCTTCCAGACGTGCAACTAAGGAACAACATCAGTTCCAGTAAGGAGTGGAGTTTGCTCTCCGTTCATATTTTAGTTTATATTTTATTTAGGTTATTTATTTGGGCTATTTATTGTTAGCTTGTTTGGCAATTCCTTGATTAGGGTATTGTTTACTTGATTGTTGGACTGGGGTTAATCAGTCTTCTCTCTGGGGGAAAACTGGATTCAGCTGGACTCGAGCAGAGCCATCTTACGTCGTGATATGGGTCTACCACGACATGGAAACAGAACAATTATATCTTGTTAATCTTAGTTTGGAATGTACTGTGATCTCAGGCCTTTTGCACTGACTATAAAGCGCAATTCTTTTGATGAAAGCTTCCATGTCGGTCTGAAATTTTAGCCTTGGTTGGAAGAAATATTATTTCCAGGCTGGCGGCTATAAAAAGTGGCGAGAAGGTTGTATCTACGCCCTAGCCATAAAGGGTGGCTTTCAAACCACAATTGCTCGTCATGCGACATGAAGCTAAACAAACTGCATGATTGTTCAATGGGATACCTTGACTTGATCTGCTTTGGACGAGGCTGTAAAGTGGACTATGTCAGATTAGATTAGCTGTTAGTTAGGGTGGGGGGAGAACTCTGCAGAAGGGCGAGGATCTATTTAGTGCTGGGTATTAACACAGAATGACTGGCGGTCCTTGTAAAGCCATTATGATACCAGATGGAGCTGGAAAGAAGCTTGTGGAACAAGAATAAATTTCGCTCTGGATGCCTTGGAAGAGAAATAAACCTAGAGAGGGAAACAGCCCAATTTAATAGAGTTGCAATTTGGAACTTGGGTTCAAATTCTGCTGTGTTAATGAATGGGGTGGGGAAAAAAGAGAGATGGCGTCCTGGCCTTGTTCTAATATTCACGACAATCTAAAGAAGAAAAAAAAGTGAACTGCACCATCAAGAAAAGGGGGAAAATATCGTTTACTTTTTTTTGTCAAGTTGGTAGTCCTCAGCCTATGACCACAATTGGACCAGACTTTCCATTGCTAAGCAAGACAGTTAAAGTGAGCTAGGACTGATTTTACAACCTTTGTTTGCCATGGTTTTAAGTGAATCACTGCAGTGCTTAACTGCTAACATGGTGGTTAAGGAAATCCAGTTTCCACCGTTGACTTTGCTTGTCTGAAACTAGTTGGGAAGGCCCGAAATGAGAATCACAGGACCCTGGCATGCTGCAATCATTGTTAAAGGCTGGCGTGGTGGCCAAGTGTCTGAATTTTGATCACATGACCATGGGGATGCTGTCATAAGGGCAAGGATGCATTATACGTCCCTTTTGTTCAGTGCTGTGGTAACTTTGAATGGTTGCTAAATGAAAGGTGGTTAGTCAAGGACAAGGGAAGGCAACCTGGGCTCTTTTATGACTCGTGGACTTCAACTCCCAGAATTCCTGAGCCAGCCATGCTGAGAGGAAAGGGAGAGGTTTCCATGCTGAGCCATACTGGCCAGGAATTCTGGGAGTTGAAGTCCATGAGTCATAAAAGAGCCAAGGTTGCCCACCCCTGGCCTAGGCCTGTATTGTGGCCACCTTGGCCACTCGGAGATGGATGGACTTCAACTCCCAGAATTCCCAAGCCAACGTGGCTCAGCATGGAAACCTCTCCCTTTCCCCTCAGCATGGTTGGCTCAGGAATTCTGGGAGTTGAAGTCCACGAGTCATAAAAGAGCCAAGGTTGCCTACCCCTGGTCAACGACAACCTGTATTAAAAGTAGAAAAACGCGCCTAGAAACTATCCAGCGGATGTCCCAAAAATGCTTTCAAAAAGTGGACTTTCTTGTTCTCCTTGAAGAAGTTTCGCTTCTCATCCAAGAAGGCTGGAGAATGAAAGGATTTACCTTCCTTGTGGTCAGTCAGTCCTCTTCCTGAGAGTCCATGAGGCCACTTAGAGCAGTGGTTCTCAATCTTTCTAATGCCACAACCCCATAATACAGTTCCCCATGTTGTGGTGACCCCCAACCACTTATACATCACCGGGTGCCAAGGGTGTGGCCAAAGAAAAGGGGAAAAAAATGGCGGACAGCCTTGTTTGGCGACCCCCATGAAATGGTCGTTCGACCCCAAATGGGGTCCCGACCCACAGGTTGAGAACCACTGACTTAGAGGTTTTTCTCTGCCCTCAGGGTCACCTGAATCCTGTAGTCTGCAATATTTTTTTTCCTGAAAATCCATTCCTACTTCCACACTATTCCAAGTGTGTTCGTCCCCAAATACATAACTAAATGTCTATGGAGATTTTCAGTCATCCCAGTCACGGTATCTAGCTGGTGAACATTAGCACACCTTTGCTATTCAAATTGGCTAAGTTTTACCTGTGGCCAAAAAAGGACGGTAGGAAAATCTACCGAATACGGTAGCAAGAGAGAATGGGAAAAGACCACGCTAGCCTTTCCCGAAGTCTGCAAAAAATGTTTTCTTAAAAACAAAAAGCGGAACTGGAAGCTGAAGGCAAATTTCCAGGGACTGCCTTCCTGTCAGTTGGTGCTGCCAAGAAACCACACTACAAATGCAAAAACAGAAAAAAACGAACAAAAAAAACCCTCAACGGCGCTGAAGGGCGATGTGCAAGTTAGATGCCAGCTTGCCTTGAAATCAATGGGATTTCTTTTCCACGGAACGTTTTTAGGATTGGATGTTAAGCTCATCAATTGCAGGCAATTCAAAGGCCAGTTAAATGTTTAATTCCCATTGATTCCAACTGGGCTTTCTCTTCATAAAACCTTGGAGGCTAACTTGGTTATTGTAGCCTGGGGTTTTCTCTTACAACAACAGATATATCTTCATGAATTCATTTCTCCCAAAACAAGGTTACTGGTGAGCAATTAAAAAGAAACCCAAAAGAGAGAGAGAGAGAGAGAGAGAGAGTTGGAATGATCAGAGGGTTTTTGTTCTCTCTGAAATCTGAGCTGTAGAGATCAGTAGGGGATCATGGAGAGAAACAACAACAACAACAACAATAATAATAATAAAGTTGGAAGTAACCTTGGAGGTCATCTAGACCAACCCCCTGCTCAGGCAGGAACCCTATACCATTTCGGACAAATGGCTGTCCAGTCTCTTCTTAAAAATTTCCAGGGTTGGAGCATTCACCACTTCTGGAGGCAGGTTGTTCCACTGGTTAATTGTTCTAATTGTTCTAATTGTTAATTGTTCTAACTGTCTGGAAGTTTCTCCTTAGTTCTAGGTTGCTTTTCTCCTTGATTAGTTTCCACCTGTTGCTTCTTGTCCTGCCTTCAGACGCTTTGGAGAATAGCTTGACTCCCTCTTCTTTGGGGCAGCCCCTGAGATACTGGAAGACTGCTATCATGTCCCCTCTTGTCCTTCTCTTCCTTAAACTAGACATACCCAATTCCAGCAGCCGTTCCTTATATGTTTTAGCCTCCAGTACCCTGATCACCTTTGTTGCTCTTCTCTGCACTCTTTCTAGATTCTCAACATCTTTTTTACACTGTGGTGATCAAAACTGGATGCAATATTCCAAGTGTGGTGAAGTTTGGTACCACCTGCCAGATTTTACCACTTCAGGTTTGGTGAAATCCTGGCAGCAGGGCCTAATTCAAAGGTTAGCACCCTTTGGAAAAATTCTGGGATGGCAAAGTTCAGATCATCAGCAGGCTAAGATCGGGTAGCCCTCGTCTTACCAGAGTCCATTTAGTGACCATTCAAAGTTACAACGGCAGTGAAAAAAGGGACTTATGGCTGTTTTTCACACTTACGAGTGTTGCAGCATCCTCGTGGTCACGAATTGAGAGGCCTGGCAACTGACTTGTATTTATGACTGTTGCAGCGTCCCAAAGTCACGGGATCCCCTTTTGCGACCTTCGGAGAAGCAAAGATAATGGGGAAGCCGGCTTCTCTTAACGACCATGTTACTAACTTAACAACTGCAGTGATTCACTTAGCTTCTGTGGCGAGAAAGGTCATAAAATAGGGCAAAATTCACTTAACAAGTGTCTCACTTAGCAACACAAGTTTTGGGCTAAACTGTGATCGTAAATCAAGGACTACCTATACAGACAGAGAGTCCTCGACATACAATCATTCATCAAGTGACGGAAGTTGCAATAGCGAGAAAAGTGACTTGTGACTGTTCCTCGCACTTACAACCAACCTCCTCACAGTCATGTGATCAAATTTGGGCACTTGGCAACCATGTATTTACGACAGTGGCACTGTCCTGGGGTCACGTGATCGCCATTTGCGACCTTCCGACCAGCAAAGGCGATGGAAGAAGCTGGATTCGTTTCCTGAATCTGCAGCTGCGGCGATCCACTTATCTGTGGCAAATAAGATCATACAATCAGTTGTGACTTGCTTTAACAATCACCTAGTTCGACTAGAGGACCTCCAAGGTCCCTTTCAAGTCTGTTTTTCTGTTACCTGGCTTAGCAATGGAAATTCTGATCCCCACTGATGTCATAAATGGAGGACTATCTCGACCAAGAAACGAAACATTATCTGGATACTGTTATCATGGTATTGCTCATTCCTACGGATTGTGGATAGGGTGGAATCTGATCCCTTCAGTCCAGCACCTTCACTGTTGTACCACGCTGGCTTTTATTCTGGGGAGAGGTCAATGGAAGGAGAAATTATTTGCAGAAACTATGAAACTTATCAGCACTGCATGAGCAAAACTCTTGATAACCAAGAAATGGTGGCCCTCCCTTCAGGGTGTAGCGCCAGCCTTCCATTTTCTCTTGCTCTCCATCCCTTTTGCTTCAGATAACCACCGGACACCTGATTAGGTCCCACGCCATAAGCACTTGACATTTCATTGGAGGAGAGACCACTACAGATTTGCAAAAAGGTGTTAGGTGTGGATGTAGAGCAGTGGTTCTCAACCTTTTTAATGCCGTGACCCCCAACCAGTCATAAGTCGAGGACTACTCAACCGGTTGTAAGTCGAGGACTACTCAACTGGTGCAGCACCGTTTGCAGAATGGGACTTTTGGCGGGCTCAGCAGGGCAGAGACAGCCTGGACAATTCCTATTGGCTTTTGAAAGCCAATAGAATTAGACTCGATTCAAGAGAGTCTATTCTATTGGCTTTCAAAAGCCAATAGAATAAAAGGGAGTAGCACAGCTAAGGAAAAGGGGAAAAAAATGGTGGACTGCGTTGTTTGGTGACCCCCGTGAAATGGTCATTCGACCCCAAATGGGGTCCCAACCCACAGGTTAAGAACCAGTGATGTAGAGGGAAGTCTTGGGCTCACAAACCACTATTCTAGGATACTAAGATGTCCTTGGTGCTGCTCTCTGAGTTTGATTGTTGGCTTGCAGATGTTTCATACCCAAACTGGGTGACATCAGCTACATAACATCATTTACCTGGTTAGCAAAGAAATTTAGCGAAGCTCATAAAACCCACCAGGCTGAGCTAAAATGGCCTGGTTTAGTTTATGGGTTATGCTATTGTGTAAGCCTTAGTGTTGTCCTTGGATGCATTGGATAAGCCATCGTGTTAAACCAGGTTAAGTTTTATTTCAGTACCATATGTGGCAACATAAATAAAACAGGAGGTTTTTTTAAAACAGAAGTTGAGACTGGTGTAGTGCTTAAACCCAGACAGAATACTGTTTGTAAAATATAATATAATTTAGAGTAGAGTAGAGTAGAGTAGAGTAGAGGTGGGAGGGGAGAAGGGAAGGGAAGGGAAGGGAAGGGAAGGGAAGAGAAGAGAAGAGAAGAGAAGAGAAGAGAAGAGAAGAGAAGAGAAGAGAAGAGAAGAGAAGAGCTTTATTGGCCAGCTATGATTAGACACCCAAGGAATTTGTCTCCAGTGCATAAGCTCTCAGTGTACATGCAAAACAGAGATAACAACAACAACAACAACAACAATAATAATATCAAAGTAATAATAATAATGATATCAATAAGAGAAGGTAGTGGAAAAGCTAAGGATAATAGTATATTATTGGGTATATTTAGAGACAAGATAGTACTGTGGGAATTAGGTGTTCAGCAGAGTGATGGCATGAGGGGAAAAAAACTTGTCTGTTGTTTTGGCATGCATGATTTGAAAGCATCTCACAAAAAACCAGAAATGGTAGAGAATGATCTATCCTACATGAACTTAACCAGCAGCTGGTCCACCTGTCCCACATTGTGAGAGGTGGAGGGGAATAAATACGTCAGTACATCTGTGTCACTTGGTTTTATTACAAACAAAACTTAATTGATTGCTGTCCAAACGCCTCCAGATTGACAGCGGGGCTACCGCAAAATACACAATTAAAACAAATAGGCGCTTCCTTTTCACAGTCATAGCTCTGAGAATGTGATTTTTTTTTTCCTGCTCAAGTCCGTTTGCTCTGAATATCAGCTTCTCTTGGCTGGCATGAGAATGTTGTTGGCTCAAAGTCTTTCCCTGATGAACGTACATTTTTACAATTGAGGTCTTGTCCTATTCGGAGAAAGATGGGCACTGCCTTGCGCAGAATATTCATGGGGATGGACTGGGGACAAATAGGATTGTTCTCTCAGAAACTTCCCATGTCCCTTGAGGAGAAGAATTTTTTTTTAAAAAAAGAGCCCATGGGAACGGACCAAAAGCCACACCATGGTCTGAATAGCAATGCCAGGGGAGGCTCAGGCACATCTGAATTGTCGCGTGCATCTCCCTTGTGGCCATACAAAGGGTGTATAACCTGCCCATTCCCATCAGCTGTCACAAAGTGCCCTATGTGTGTGTGTGTGTGGTGAAAGTAATTCTAATCTCTGAAAAGAAGAAGAGCCTTAAATGGCAGAAAAGGCAGAAGAAGGTATGAATTGCGGCAAGCCTAAAAAATAGGTGGAGTTTTAATCACACCTTTGTGGCCATCTTCTCTGCTAGCTGGACTGCACCCGGTGGATGTCCTCCTAAACCATTAAGGAAAATCAAACCAAAGTCTGCAAATGGTTTTTGTTACGTGGGGGGGAAAAAAACACCACACAATAGAAACACAAAAAACTGACACAAGAAAAAGGCCTAGCGGTCCATTAAGTCTGCCCTTTGCGTTTATTTGGTTTTTTTAAAAATTTTCTTTTTAGTGAATTGTTTTTAATTATTGTTTGTTTGTTTGTTTATTATCCCAAGCGTGCTTAAACTCAGTTACTGGTGATTGATCCGCTGCCTCTGCTGGAAGTTGGTTCCAAGCTTCTGCTACTCTTGATTGTGTTGGTTCACTCGCGTGGTTTTATAGTGAGTAGAAGGGGCACTCCCATCCCATCCAACAGGAAGAATCAGGGCAAGCAGGCCAGAAGAGAACACAAAAACTCTGCAACATGGCTGTGCAACTTTCAATTCAGCTGCCACTAGATGCTTTAGAACGAGCGCCTAACAGCATCTCTTTAAAGCAGCAACCTCTTTTCCTGCATCCTTTTTTTTTCTGGGTGAAGACGCAAATGCTTGGAGGAGTTGAAGATAAGCGCTCGCTGTCCATAGTTTAATGAAGAGAGGTTTAATGTTTAGTTTAATGAAGTTTAGTTTAGTTTAATGAAGAGAAGGACGAGGAGGGGACATGACAGCAGTGTTCCAGTATCTCAGGGGCTGCCCCAAAGAAGAGGGAGTCAACCTATTTTCCAAAGCACCTGAAGATAGGAGAAGAAGCAACGGATGGAAACTAATCAAGGAGAGAAGCAACCTAGAACTAAGGAGAAACTTCCTGACTGTCAGAACAATTAACCAGTGAAACAACCTGCCTCCAGAAGCGGTGAATGCTCCAACACTGGAAGTCTTTAAGAAGAGACTGGACAGCCATTTGTCTGAAATGGTATAGGGCAGGGAGGGGTAGGCAACCTTGGCTCTTTTATGACTCGTGGACTTCAACTCCCAGAATTCCTGAGCCAGCCATGCTAAGGGGAAAGGAAGGGGTTTCTAAGCTGAGCCACGCTGGCTCAGGAATTCTGGGAGTTGAAGTCCACGAGTCATAAAAGAGCCAAGGTTACCTACCCCCTGGTATACGGTTTCCTTCCTGAGCAGGGGTTGGACTAGATGACCTCCAAGGTCCCTTCCAACTTTATCATGATGATGGTGATGATGATGATGATTATTATTATTATATGTGCCAAAGCATCTATTGCAATCGAATTCAAAGCTCAAAAGATGGCACTATGTAGCTCATTCCTGATCCACCTACAATGGATGGGATATAAATGGCTAAGAGAGAGGGGTGGGAGAAGGGGACACCCTAGTTTGCTTGTGTTTGAAGAAATCTATACACGAGCTCTTTAATGGTACAACGGTAAATGTCGTTATTGACCAGTATTATGTAAAGGTATGTGGGAATGACAACTGGGAGAGCTGAAGACTAAGAGGCAGCTTAGCCTGCAGAAGGAGTTGGGAGCCTGGCAAATGTCTCAGAAGGAGCTTTTACCCATAGGTTGGAGCTAATCCTTATGGGCGTGCTTTGTATCTGGACTGCATTGCAAGGGTGACATAAACACATGTTTAGTGCTGCAGGGATGGGGAAGAAAGGCTGCCAGTTGGGAAAATTGTTGCTTAGCTACTCAAGACCCAAAGACTTCTTGGAGCTGATGGGGTAATCAAAATAATAATAATAATAATAATAATAATAATAATAATAATAATAATAATAATAAAGTTGGAAGGGACCTTGGAGGTCATCTACTCCAACCCCCTGCTCAGGAAGGAAACCCTATACCAGGGGTAGGCAACCTTGGCTCTTTTATGACTCATGGACTTCAACTCCCAGAATTCCTGAGCCAGCATGGCTCAGCATAGAAACCTCTCCCTTTCCCCTCAGCATGGCTGGCTCAGGAATTCTGAGAGTTGAAGTCCACGAGTCATAAAAGAGCCAAGGTTGCCTGCCCCTGGACTAGCCCATTTCAGACAAATGGCTGTCCAGTCTCTTCTTAAAAACTTCCAGTGTTGGAGCATTCACCGCTTCTAGAGACGGGATGTTCCACTGGTTAATTGCTCTCGTTGTCGAGAAGTTTCTCCTTAGTTCTAGGTTGCTTTTATCTTTGGTTAGTTTCCACCCGTTGCTTCTTGTCCTGCCTTCAGGTGCTTCGGGGAATAGCTTGACTCCCTCTTCTTTGTGGCAGCCCCTGAGATATTGGAACACTGCTATCATGTCCCCCCTCGTCCTTCTCTTCATTAAATAATTGGTCTTCCTCTCCTCCACCTCCTCCTCCTCCTCCTCTCCTCCTCTTCCTCCTCCTCCTCCTCCTCCTCCCTAGGGTTAACATGGCCTATCAATCAGAGGTGATCATTGATGCTCAGCCACAACCTGCAGGCACCAGCTACACCTTCAATAATCAAGGCAACTGGAATTCGGAGCTGTGTGACTGCTGTTCTGACATGGGCATCTGTGAGTAACGGAAGCATTTTGGGGAGCAAAGATGGGGGATCTCTTGTTGCCAGGCTTTAGGTGGGAAAAGCAAGGACCTGGGGTCTCCACAAAGGGGTCAAACATGTCAAGACAGTAGCCACAAATGCACCATTAAAACTCTGCTCCTTTCCTGCGAATTGCATTTTGGCTTTTTTTGGGGGGGGGGGAAACCTACTGCAGATGCCCTTGCCCAAATCGTAAATGCAGGTGGTCCTCGACTTACAGCCACAATTGAGCCCGACATTTTGGTCACTAAACAAGACTGTTGTTAAGTGAGCTTTGCCCCATTTGACAAACGTTCTCTCCACCATTAAGTGAATCGCCACAGTTAACAACGCAGTTACTAAAGTCCCCATTAACTTTGCTCGTCAGAAGGTTCACCAAAGGGGATCACATGACCCCGGGACACTGCGACCGTCATAAATATGAGTCAGTGGCCAAGCGTCTGAATTTGGATCACATGACCATGGGGATGCTGCAATGGTCATAAGGGTGAAAAATGGTCACTTTTTTCAGTGCCCTTGTAACTTAAACCAGGGGTAGTCAACCTTGGCTCTTTTATGACTCGTGGACTTCAACTCCCAGAATTCCTGGGAGGTTGACTACCCCTGACTTAAACAGTCACCGAACTAGTGGCTGTTTAGTGATTGGCTGGGGAATTCTGGGAATTGAAGTCCATGAGTTATAAAAGAGCCAAGCTTGACTACCCCTGACTTAAACAGTCACCGAACTAGTGGTTGTTTAGGGGCTGGCTGGGGAATTCTGGGAGTTGAAGTCCACAAGTCTTAAAGTTGCCTCAGCTTAGGTACCCCTGGACTATAGCCTGAATTCCAGACTCTGATCCCCTTGGATAAAAGTCATCGGCCATTTTTATTGGTCTCTCAAGGAGTTTGAGAGACGTTCACCCTTTCTTTTCCTTTCCTCCAGGTCTTTGTGCCACTTTTATACCCTGCGTCCTTGCCTGTCGGGTCTCGGAACAAGCTGGGGAATCCTGCTGTCTCCCATTTTTGCCAGGGTCTCTGATCGCTCTCCGTACAGGAGTGCGTGGAAAATACGGTATTCAGGTAAAAGGCGGAGCATCAAAAATAAAAACGCAAACGGAGTTGGGGGAAAGACGGCGGCTGTAACCCAGATGTGACAATGCCTTTTTTCTTCCCTTAAAGCAGACATGTCAAACACAAGGGCCGGGGGCCAGATGCGGCCCGCAAAGTGGTTGCATGTGGCCCATGAAGCCATCCTGGAAACAGTGAGGGAATGGCCCCTGCTGCCTTGGCCCTGGCCCAGGCCGGCCAGGAGCCAATGTACAATTTTGTGGTGGCCATCTTGGCACTTGCCCCAGTGGACCATGCCTTGGCACTTGCCCCGGTCCCACCCCCTTCTGCCGGAGACCCCCAGATCTGTCCCACTCCTGCCCAGGCCCCCACAGGCATCCTTGACGTAAACGATGTAGAGCTGGCCACGCCCACCCAGTAGGCCACACCCACCCCATCCACACCCACCCAGTTGGCCACACCCACCCAGTTGGCCACACCCACCTAGCCCCCTGAGGGCAACCGCAATGCTGGTGCGGCCCTCAGTGAAATTGATTTTGACACCCCTGCCTTAAAGAGACAAAAGAGGAAGTCACCTCCCCTCCTTCCTTGTTCTCCATCTTGAGTCTCATCATGAATTTGACTTCCCATTTTAACCCAGGGCTTTGTTGTCCACTCAGGGGTCTATCTGTGACGATTGGGTGGTCATGTCCTGCTGTATGCTGTGTGGTCTCTGTCAGATGGCTAGAGAGCTGAACAGGAATTGAGAAGACAGAAGAAGTGTCCGGTCTTCACTCTGGAGAAAGCGAAGGAAGAGTTGAAGAAATGAGTCAGGGGCGGGGGGGGGGGGAACAAAGCTAGAGCTGACAGGTCTGAAGTGAGAAAGAAAGACGACCCAAAATTACAGCGGAATTAATTTTCCTGCCTCTTTGCTTACAAAAGTTTGCAAATGCAAAATTCTACAGAAAAGAATACGCACCAACACACACACACATATGATATACGTATATAAAACTAAAAAACATAGAAGAAGAAAAAAATTACAGGAATCATATATAATGATGAGTAAATACAAAGTTATCTTCTAGCTGCTTTCTTTCTCTCTTTGGCCATCTGATCACCATCCAAAATCTAGCAGAGTGGATCTGATAGTCCTAAACCAGGGGTCTTCAAACTTGTGGACTTCAACTCCCAGAATTCTTCCGTGCTGGCTAGGGAATTCTGGGAGTTGAGGTTCACCAATCTTAAAGTTGCCAAGTTTGGAGATCCTACGGTGAACTAGATTCTGAATGCAGCGGCCTCTTGATGCTAACAAAAGAGCTATGCTCTTGCAAGAAGATTCAGTAACAGGGATTTTTATGTTTATTCCACCCTGAAATCAATGCCCTAATAAATAAATCTGGATCTAAGATTGTGCGAATTTTTTAAAATAATACTTTTGGAAATGGGAACTGTTATATTCCTTCTGACTGCTTGGTAATGTGAAACGTCACTAAATGTGCTGAAATCAGCTGATTTTTCTGGCTAAGTGAACATTTCAACCAAATAGCTCTGTGCTTTCACACATTATTCTCTCACTATTGACTTTGTTCATTTAAAATATTCATGCAGCTGCCCATCTTAAAACCATTCTTGACAGCTTTTAATTTGCAAAACAATATAAAACATTTAAAAAAATAAACCCAGCAGTGATAAAAAAATTAAAATGCAAACTGGTGCCACAACCACACACTTCTACCACATTCTTATCCCGTTCTGACCTCATTTTATTTCAAAGCTTGGGAGAAGAACAGGCGTGGAGTGTCTTGGGAAAGATAAAGGGGGGGGGCTGTCGAATGTCAAGGGGGAGGGAGTTCCATAGGGTGGGGGTTATAATGGAGAAAGCATTCAATGGAGATGTCCCACAAAATTAAGGTGACCAACTGTCCTCCTTTAGGACAGGGCTTTTTTTTTCCCTCATAGAAAGCTCAGAACAGCATTCCGGCCGTTTTTTGATGGGTTTTTTTTTTCAACTTTTGCATGAGCTGTGCTACTCCCCCTATTGGCTTTCGAAAGCCAATAGGAATTGCTGCTGAACGCACCAAAACACCCGGCTGGCAAACTTTGCACATGCAAGTTGTCTGTATTATTGTTGCAATGAATAACATGTTTCTTTTATTTACAATATTTTTTTCTTCAATTTATTTGTGTCCTCCTTTTCATTATAAAAAAGTTGGTCACCTTAACAAAGTGGCAATCTTTCAGGGAAGGGATCTGCAATAGGCCTAACTTATCTGCTCTGGTGGGACAGACAGAGGTTCTCTTCTGCAGTTGCAAGTGCAAGTAATCCTTGACTTGCAACATTTCAGTTAGTGACCGTTCAAAGTTACAATGGCACTGAAGTGACTTACAACCATTTTCACATGACTGTTGCAGCATCCCCGTGGGTCACGTGATCAAAATTCAGACCCTTGGCAACTGTAAGGACCCACCTCATCTAACCACCCAAGAAAGCAGAACTCTTGAAACAGGCCTGGTCTCAAAAGGAGGGCTCAGTGACAGGAAGGAAGTCAAGGCAAGACCTAAACAGAATTTGCATAGCTATACGTATGTATGGATGGATGGATATGGCTATATCTATACGTTTGCATATCTAAAAAAGGTAGCAACTACATTTCTGCTGGCTGAAAATCTGTCGTCTAAGCCTTTATCATAGGAAAATATGCATTTAGAAGTAAACATCGCTGAGTTCAGGGAAGTTTACTAAGTAACTCTGCATTGTATTAGAGTCATGCCTCATAAATTCCATTATGAGCATTGATTGCTGGGGTATTCTTGTGTTAAGGCTGGGGTCTTAAGCAGGGTGTGAGTTCCTTTGATTATTGCCTTTTCCCAGAGTGTAGTTACTGTGCTATCCACCCATCCTTGGGCCTAGATTGGCATGAAATTGGAAGAAAACTAGTAGAAACAAAGTGTCCAATCATGGCAACTTTAAGACCTGTGAACTTCAACTCCCAGAATTCCCCAGCCAGATATATGCTGGGGAATTCTGGGAGTTGAAGTCCACAGGTCTTAAAGTCACCAAGGTTGAGCACCCTTGAGGTAGAAGCATAAGATTTGCTACTGCTTCTGTTTCCAGTCTTTGCCTGTCTCAGTTTCTTCTGAGGCCCAATCTCACCCCAACTTAAACCCTCCATCAGTTTACACATCGTTTGGCATCTGATGACGAGAGATACAGTTCAGGATATAGCTCTGCCTTTTAATAAAATTTGTAAAAAAGAAGCTATCAAACTTCTTCCAATTTTTTGTTGCTCTAATATAGAGCACTGTTTTTGAATTTCAGCAACTTTAAGAGGTGTGGACTTCAATTCCCAGAATTCCCCAGCATGGCTGGAGGGGAAATTCTGAGAGTTGATCTGTACATATTAAAGCTGGAAACTTAGAAACGCTGCTATAAACTAACATAGTTCTTCTTTTACAATGTCCCTCCTGAAGTTATGAATCACAAAGCCTAACCGGTTTTTGTTCTGGATTTCAGTGACAGAAATAAAAAAATGGGTTTTATTTGTTGACTTGGCAAATGACAACAAGTTATTCCTAACCATATCACAATTGGCTGAATTTGTACAACGTAAAGCAAAACCACTTGCTTACTTAGCCATGCAGACATCTAGCCTTATAAAAACAAGGATTATAACTAACAACCCAATGGAGCCACTCTTTTAGCACGACTGATGTGTTTATTCTGAATTTAAGATTGAAAGCTAGTAACTATTTAACCAGGACACAGAATAGGAAGTGAAAAACTCAGGAACCAAAATGTGTGGTTCGCCAAAGCAAGCCAACTGGAATATCCTTGCTAACCGTGGCTGTAGCAATGACAAATCTCGGTCTGTACTACTTGCAGATGTCCGAGACTACACTACCCATCATCCTCAGCCAGCATAGCTTCCAAACTAAGAGGGGGGCACAGCAGGTTCCTGTTATTTTCTGTTATGCATTATACACGATAAGTACACTTTTTTTTGTTTTTTACATGCAAGGAAAAACGATCGTATAGAACAGGGGTAGGCCACCTTAGCTCTTTTATGACTCGTGGACTTCAACTCCCAGAATTCCTCAGCCAGCCTGGCTCAGCATGGAAACCTCTCCCTTTCCCCTCAGCACGGCTGGCTCAGGAATTCTGGGAGTTGAAGTCCACGAGTCATAAAAGAGCCAAGGTGGCCTACCCCTGGTATAGAACAACAGGGAAAAAAAAAAAAACTGGCTCCGTGCCTCTATTTATGCAAATGACTGAGCTGAGCACAAAGACTCTATTTCCCAGTAGGCTCCGCGCCTCGGAAAGTAAACATCCGCGTTCTATCCCCTCCCTTCCCTTGCCACGCAGACCGATCGCTTCCGCCGAGGAGCTGGACCGGGGGCGACGAGAGGTGCGAGGTTCTGTTGCCAGGGGCAACCCCGGATGCAGGAGAGACTGGACCGCGCAGCATCGGAGGGACCCTTTTGTTTTTTTGTCCTAGGTCGTGGATGCCTGGGAAGGGACGGGGCGGCCAAGCTCTTTTTGCCGGCTTGCGGACCAAAACATGGGGGACACACCCGATGCTGCCTGAGCTGGAGCCAAGGGACAGCCCCACCAGGAGCTGGGTCTGGAGTTGGGGCGGTGGGCTCATTCCTGAGAGGGGCGAAGGCACCATTTGTGCCAGGGCGGGGCGTATGGTAGTATCCAGTGTCCAGCGCTGGCCAGATAAAGCCCGTGAGAGGCCCATGTTAGCTGCTTCTAAAAGAGGGTGAGCTTGAGAGAGAGAGAGGAAGGGCAAGGAAAGAAGGTAAGGGATATTTACTTAAGACACAATAGATTATAATGGGATGTAGTTTATATGTTGTGTTAGTGTAGTTATCTGAAGAAAGCTAATATGGTGTAGGGGTGCAGGTATCAGGCTAGAAACTGGGGGTCAGTGAGTTCTAGTTCTAGGCATGAAAGCCGGCTGGGGGAGTTTGGGCCAATCGCCAGGAGACGGTGAGTTCTAGTCCTGCCATAGAACTGAAAGCTAACTGGGGGACTTTGGGCCAATCACCAGGAGATGGTGAGTTCTAGTCCCACCTTGGGCATGAAAGCAGCTGGGGTGTGTGTGTGTATTTATTTATTTGAATCCACCTTTATTATTTTTACAAATAACTCAGGTGGTGAACATATACAACATACCTTCGCCCTCTTACTTTTCCCACCACAACTCTGTGAGGTGGGTTTCGACCAATCATTAGTAGACTGTGAGTTCTAGTCCCACCTTCGGCATGAAAACTGGCTGGGTGACTTTGAGCCAAAGCTTGTTGTTTTGCCAGCAAGCAAGGAATAAGATGTGCTTTCATAGCAGGTGAGGGTATGCATTGATGTCACTCTGGAAGGTCTGCTGTGCAGCAGTGTATAAGTATGTAAAGGAAGAGGGTGGATCTTGTCTAGTGACATTACTGTGGGCTGCTATATGTGTGCCCTGCTTTGCTGCAGTATCCTTGCTTCCAATATCCAGAACAAAGATCTTCTATGCCTTAAATATATTTACGAAATGATCTTCTGGATAGCTCTGGATAACGCCATGAGGGATTCAGTGTGGGTTTTGATCCTCCTCACCCAACCAGTGCTGTGTCTGACTCCCATATCTGCCTTTTCTATCCAGCTTCTCAGTCTTAATTTACCATGGCTGGTAAAACTGGACCAGAACATCTGTTTAATGCAGCCACTGAGGTCGAGACAACAGGAGCATTGATGAGCAACAAGTAAGTTATGAGGAAATCATTTTGCTTTTCCCAGCTGAGTACCCTCAGAAATGTTGAACACAACTCCTATCCTCCCCAACCATCACAAAAACAAGCATGCTGGCTCAAGAGGAATTGTGGGCTCTTTGGTGCTGTCTGAGCTTGGTTGGCTTTCTTGAAGACATTTCATTACCCATCCAGGTGGTATCATCAGTACTAGAAGGGAGTAGGGGTGTGCTTTCATTTTATATACTTGCACTTGGCTTGCACTGTCAGTATTGGTGGGAGTGGAATTTATGGTTCCTTGTTTGGACTGTTGTTTACTATTAGCTTGTTTGTCGGGGTCGATAGTTCCTTGATTGGGGTAGTGTTTATTTTATTTTTTTATTGTTGGTCTGGTGCTAATCTTGGTGCTAATTTCTGCTCACCTGGGTGTTGATAACTGGCGAGGAGATGTTTGGGTCTTTTTGTTTCCTTTTTGGCATTTTGATAGTATACAAATGTTGTTTATCTTTATGTGCTTGTCGATGGCCGATCTGTCTGAGTGAAATTCCTTAAGAGGAATTGTAATTTAACACTCTGAGGACAACTCTGTTTTCCTCAGAGTTGGAACACTACTTTTTAAAAAGAGCTAAGGTACTGACGTATCTATGGCGATACTCAGTCATCCAGGTCTTGATTGTCCCAAAGAGGCATTCAAAAGGCAAGTGGACTTTTTTTCCCCTTCATGTTTATTTTTAAAAACATTCTTCTAATTCTTTCCTGGCCTTCTGACTTTCTCTCTTACTAGGATCAACATCCCAGCACTTTTGCCCCAAGGCCCAGCTAAGGAATGGCTAGAACAGCGTCGGGCTACCATTCGCCCCTGGGCCAACTTCCTGGACCAGAAACGGTTCGCAAAGCCTCGGAATTTGGGGGAACTGTGTAAACGTCTTGTCCACAACGTGGAATATTTCCAGAGCAATTACGTCTTTGTCTTCCTAGGACTGATCGTCTATTGCCTGTGAGTAGATTGGATGGCTTCTTTGTTTACTTGTATGTGGAGATAAATTCTCCCGACTCGGTGCTGCAAACATCACTGAGGATGCACAGGCCTTCATTTGTGCAGTGAAAGTTCCTGAAGCCAGAGGCAATCCCTTGAAAAACCAACCACCTTTGGCCGTCATAACTGGGCAATCAAAATGCCTGTGGAGATTCTTTTAGTATTAGCATTGTTTAACTATTTGGGGACTGTATTGTTTAATAATTAGGATATTAACTTGTTTATGTTCTCATTATTATTATGTTCACTTTTAATTTGTTTATATTTATGTTAAAGGGGAGTTAAAGTATATTATGGATGTGGTTATTTATATAGTTGGTAATGTTAGTTAGATTATGATTATCATATTTGTAACCCTGTATTCAGCTCTGGGAAGTGGGGGAGGGAGATGGGGGGGGGGTTGGGAGGGTTGATATTGTAATTCTTATAAAACTTTTTAATAAAAAAAATGTCTATGGAGATTCTCAGTCATCCAGGTCATGGTTGCCCTAAAGATGCTTTTTCAGGAGGCAACTGGATGTTCTTGTTTTTTTCTTTAAAAATGTTTCATTTCTTATCCAAGAAGCTGGAGAAGCTTACTTGGATGAGAAGTGAAATGTCTTCAAAAGAAAAAACAAGACAGTCCAGTTGCCTCCTGAAAAAGCATCTTGGTGCAATCAAAACTCTGCTTCTTTGAAACTTGCATTTCAAGAAGATGCTTTTAGCACATAATTGTAGAAAAGAATGAAGGGGTGTGTGTGTGTGTGTTGCCTAAGCTCCCTCCTGTAGTTAGAGACACAAAGAGATAAGCAGTCTCAGTCTGTGCCCACAGGCATCAGTGTGTAGGGAAATAAGGAAGGGTTAAACAACAACACATTTGTCATGAGCAAAAATGACAACTTACATTCTTGCATCAGATGTTGGGATGCACGTATCTCCAGAGAGCTTTGCATTGTGACATTACCACATGCATTTTGTCATCTTGTTGTAATCTCAGTTGGGTACAGATGCCTGACTCTATTTTTTTCTTGGCAAGGTCACCGATTCAGTGCTTGTTTGGATAAAATTCTGTCTACAATATGCATCATGGAAAAAGATTACGAACGGCCTACACCCGGTCATGCAAGGGAGCATTCAGGGTCTAGTAGATAATTCCCTTTGTTCCCGGACACAAAGATTGATAGAATTTTAGTTTGTAGAGCTTTTAGAAAAATAGCCACCAAGGAAGATCTGTAAAGAAATTAATACACTACCCTAATATACAAGTAGTGTATTTGTACAGAGGTCTTCCATTCTTAATTGTAATGGGTTCAGCCAGGTTGTGATAAATTCAACTTTAATTCCATGGAACGAGCAAGAAAATTGGTTTTGTTCTTCCATGTTGTTTCATGATGTATTTAACCCCGTTGGTCTTTCCTTCTCGCCTGTTAGCATCACATCACCATTACTTCTGATTGCACTTGCTGTGTTCTTTGGGGCGTGTTACATCATGTACTTGAAGACTCAACAGTCACAGCTTGTTCTGCTTGGTAAGTGACAATCTTTTGTTCCCACAGTGTAATGTGCAATAATAACATAAATTTCTATTTTTTTTCTCTCTTATTTAATGTCTACCCTTCTACAATTAAAAAAAGAAACACCCATCTCCTTGCTTGTTGAAAGCTAGCACGTAAGGGAACGAGGAAGCTATAGCCTAGATATTTAGGTTTTCCATAGCTAGGAAATGTTTACTATGAAAAAACACTCCATCACACACCCTCAGTGCCTTCTGAATTACAGCTAGGTCACAATGTTGTTCACCTGGCTTTGGGACAGTGCAACTGTCATCAGTACATGCCAGTTGCCAAGCATCCAGATTTTGATCATGTGATCCGCAATAGTCATACATGTGAAAACTGGTCATTTTTTATTGCTGTTGTAACTTCGAAACTAAATGAATGGTTTTAAATTGGGGACTGCTCATATTCCTACAAAGAGGGCTGCTTTTTTTCCTATCCATCCATTAGATATTGTGTTTCCCCGAAAATAAGACCAGGTATTACTACTACTACTACTACTACTACTACTACTACTACTACTACTACTACTACTATTATTATTTGCCTCCAAAAGAGGCACCAGGTCTTATTTTCAGAACAGGCCTTACCTCACCTCTGGCACCGACAGCCCCACCAAACCGGTCCACTTCTTCTGGGGCCGAAGTTCTGCAGCTGCATTCGGGCCTGCATTTTGCAGTCAGGCCTTTCCAGAAGGCCTAAGCAGCCGAGTACCGATTCAATCCATAGCTTGGTGCTCAGCTTTTGAGATCTTGCAGAACCGAAGTACGGATTGGATCCATAGCTTGGTTTTGGGCTACAGAGGCCTTCCGGAAAACCCTGTGACTGAGAAATGCAGGCCTGGCTGCAGAAGAGGCCTCAGAAGAAGAAGTGGGCCGGCAAGGAGAGGCCTGGCTGCCAGGTAAGTGGGTGCGTGGCGAGTGGGGCAGCTCCACACACCACACCCCTGCCCTAGCTTGATTTTTTAGGTGTGTGCCTCGCCCTAAAACTAGGGCTTATTTTTGGGATAGTGCTTATATTAGGCCCACCCCCAAAATCAAGCTAGGGCTTATTGTTGGTGTAGGCCAGGGGTAGGCAACCTTGGCTCTTTTATGACTTGTGGACTTCAACTCCCAGAATTCCTGAGCCAGCATGGGGGAACTATGCCCCCCTCATGACTGGTGGACTTCAACTCCCAGAATTCCTGAGCCAGCATAGCTCAGCATGGCAACCTCTCCCTTTCCCCTCAGCATGGCTGGCTCAGGAATTCTGGGAGTTGTCGTCCACGAGTCCTAAAAGAGCCAAGGTTGCCTACCCCTGGTGTAGGCCTTACTTTTGGGGAAACACGATAGATCGCTAACTTGAAAATAGTTTCTTGTCAGCAAGTCCTTGAAAGCTACATTTCCCAAAATAGCCACAAGATGGTGCTGCACCCAACAAGAACAGAGTCTGGCACAAAATCCCCTGCTTTTGTTAGGTTCCAACTCTGTTGTGTAGAGATGCTAAACCACAGAAAGCAAAAATGGGACCTCAAGGCCGGCATCTCTTCAGCCGAACATTCAAGACTGCCAGCTTCTCTCTTTTTTTTTTTTAAACCCTGGAAACCCAGCCTGCTTTCTAACTCACCGTCTTTCCCTCTAGGGCGAGAACTCAGCACAGCCCATCAATACAGTCTGGCTGGAGCTGTCTCTTTTCCTTTCTTCTGGCTGGCGGGCGCCGGCTCAGCTGTCTTTTGGGTGCTGGGTGAGTAAAGAGGAAAAGGCCGCTCCAGGGGGACAGCACGCATCTGTTCTGGGGGTTCCTTGGTGCTCCCTGAGCATGGTGCTTTTCTTGCAGACGTTTCTTGACCAAACTAGGTAACATCATCAGTGCTAGGAGGGAGTGGGGTTTGCACAGTGGAGGAGAAGGAGAAAGGTGGGAGAAGGAGGAGGATGACAGTGGGGTCTTTGGTGCTCTTTGAGCTTGGTGCTTTTCTTGCAGACGTTTCATGACCAAACTAGGTAACACCATCAGGGAGTGGGGTTTGCAGAATGGAGGAGGAGAAAGGGAGGAGGAGGACTGTGGGGGTCCTTGGTGCTCTCTGAGTTTGGTGGTTTTTTTTCCTCACGTTTCATTCCCAAACTCGGTAACATATGCTGACTTCTCTTTGAAAATGGGGCGAATACCTTAAACTTTACAATAGTTCCTTCTCAGGAACTGCAGCCCTCTTATTTCCTCTGTAGGTTTTCCGATGCCATCTGTGTGTCTGAATCTTTCCTTTCTACTCTGGTGCATCCAGTTTTTGCCCTAAGAGATCCTTAGGGCCTCTAAGAGAAAGACTTAGATGGGGAAGAGAGAGAGATCACCCCGTGGCCTCCTTTCCCATCGTGTCTTCTGTTGTTCTCTGCAGGCGCCACGTTGGTCGTCATTGGTTCACATGCCGCCTTCCACGAACTGGAATCCGTGGAGACCGATGAGCTGCAGATGGAGCCCGTGTAAAAAGTTGGAGAACGTCCTCGCCATCCATCTCTCCCGCCCCTACCCCATCGCTGTTACATTGCCTATGTATACAATGCTGCTATTTCATTCCATGTCAATATGCCTGCTTAAATTGCAATTTCCTCCAAGTCTTGAAAATTCTCAGTGGCTACCTTATTGAGATTGCCCTTCCATTTCTGATTCTTCACATATGAGATATCTCCTCCCCTCTTATTCCCACTGGCCATGAGCTTTTTCACTGAGTATATAAAAGAATGCTGCTATTAAATTATTCCCTCTGTAGATTTTTAAACGCCGTCATCGCTTCCCCAGTAGCCTGGAACCTCCTGCATTCAGCCTCTTTATGTCTTTGATCAGTAACATTAAAGAAAACGCTGACATTAGCCCACACCTCCTTTTGAGTGTTTTTAACGTGTGTTGGCCAAGGTTGCAGTGACTCACAGGATTACATCAACATTACATTACCTGATGACTCTGCTAAGTTTCCTCCCAAGGTCTGCAACTTGTTCAGCAAGGATGCGTCAAAATTAATGCCTCGCAGACATTTTGCATGGCTGCTGCATTTGCCTGCCTGCTAGGGATGGAATAAAGGACAAGGAAAGCCATCAAGCTGGATCGTTGAGTCAGTAAATTAATCAAGGTTTGTTTGTGTGTTTTTTCACACGGTCTGATTTTGTGTTTTCATACTTCAAATAGCTTGGGATATTTTGGGGTTCAAGCCACGTTGGAGTCAAAGGTGCTTTTTCAAAAGGCAACTGGACGGTTTTTTCCCTTGAGGAGGAGGAAGAAGAAAAGAAGAGGAAGGAGGAGGAGGAAGAAGGAAGAAGAAGGCAGAGGAAGAAGAAGGAGGAAGAAGAAGAAGGCAGAGGAAGAAGAAGAAGGCAGAGGAAGAAGGAGGAGAAAAGAAGAAGAAGAGGAGAAGAAGAAGAGGAAGAAGAAGAAGAAGCTTGGCGCTGAATCCTGGCGCTTCTGAGCCCAGAAGTGAAGAGAATCTATACCATCTCAGACAAGTGACAATTTCTGGTGTCAAGCTGTTCCACTGGTTGATTGTCCTCACTGTCAGGAGGTTTCTCCTTAATTCCAGGTTGCTTCTCTCTTTGGTCAGTTTCCAACCATTGTTTCTTGTCCTGCCCTTCTGGTGCTCTGGTGAACAACCTGACCCCCTTTTCCTTGTGGCAGCCCCTCCAATACTGAAACACTGCTATTGTGTCACCCCAGTTTCTTCTTTTCTTTAGACTAGCCAAACCTAATTCCCACAGCCGTTCTTCGTATGTTTTAGTCTCCAGGCCTTATATTTACATGTTCCATTTCATTCTCTGCTAATTTACAGCTCGCGATTCTGTCTCTGCTTCGGCTCGGCCTTTCTTTAAGTCACACATTCCATTTCCTATCCGGTATTATTCAATTTTGGAAATTAAGAGCTTAAACTGTCTAGTCCTACACATGACTAACATTCTGGCCACAGATAATACATTCCAGATGAGATCATTCTGTCCTGTTCATTGTAGCGGGACGTCTCCATGACTTCCAGGAGAATTTTTCATGGGGCAAAGTCTACTGGGGGGGGGGGCAAACTCAGCCTCTACTGTGAGTGAGAGAGAGAAATGTCTCCGAGGATTAATAATAATGTGACGCCTTCCTGGTGTATTTAATTTGTCCTCCGTAAACTTAGCCAGTGTGGCCAATAATTATCCAGCTTTCTCCATCGGATCAGCGCCTAAGCCCACAGACTCGGTTGCAAGAAAGATGTCGACAAAACGTTAGGAAAGTTTTTCAGCTGTGGTTTTTAAGTAGAAGAAGTTGCGCTGGCAAATGGCTGCTTTCCCTTCATTAAAGGCGTTTCATGAAAGCCTGGCAGTTTAGTTCAGTGGTTCTTAACCTTTTTGAATGAATCGGCCCCTTGAGCCAATGAGGAAGTTGTCATCGCCCCCCTCCCCCAACATAACCTCTCAATCACAACCTAGGAAATAATTCTTCAATTTATGCAAACACTTTTTGTTTTCTTTAAAATTGTCATCAGGACCTATCGATGCAAATAATTTATTTCCAGTCTTTTTCCCATATCTCCCATATTCTGGCCAATAGGCTGCTGCGCAATGTGCATGAAGATGTGTATTCACATATGTACGGCGTTCTGTACTGAAGCTAGCTGGAGGAACATTTGAAAATACAATTCAATCCACTAATAGCGAGCGATCTGATGTTTTTGTATGACAGTTATGCAGCGATTCACTGTACGAAAAAGTCTCAAAAGTGTCCCCAAAACTTCTCACTCCATCGCCCCCATATCGCCCCCTTTTCGTTCCTTCGCCCCCCTGAAAAATGAAATTGCCCCCTGGGGGGCAATATCGCCCAGGTTAAGAACCACTGGTCTAGTTCCTCAGGAGTCATAGAGCGTCTCAATCTGTCCATCAAGCTGGGCTTCCTGACTTTGTTCTGTTTCTGAATCCTTTGTTACGGAACTCTCCGGTCTGCCAAAGCAATTTGCAGCCAGTTTGGTCTCGTGGAGATTGTGAGTTCTAGTCCTGTCTGAGGCATGAAAATGACTGAATGGCTTTGGGCCAATCACCAGGAGGCTATGCGTTCTAGTCCTGCCTTAGGCCGGCCGGGTGACTGTGGGCCAATCACCAGGAGACAGTGAATTCTAGTCCCACTTTAGACATGAATATTTGGGCCAATCACCACAAGACTCTGAGTTCTAATTCCGCCGTAGGCATAAGAGCCAGCTGGGTGACTGTGGGCCAATCACCAGGAGACAGTGAGTTCTAGTCCCGCTTTAGGGAACTAGAATTCTAGTCCCTAGCTTTAGGTACAAATGTTTTGAGCCGATCACTAGGAGACTATGAGTTCTAATTCCTCCTTGGGCATAAGAACCGCTGGGTGACTGTGGGCCAATCACCAGGAGACAGTGAGTTCTAGTCCTGCTTTAGACATGAATATTTGGGCCAATCACTACAAGACTGTGAGTTCTAATTTCACCTTAGACATCAGAGCCATCTGGATGACTATGGGCCAATCACCAGGAGACAGTGAGTTCTAGTCCTGGTTTAGGCATGAAAGTTTGGGCCAATCAGCAGGAGACTAAAAGCCAATTAGGGGACTTTGAATCAATCCCTCTCTTTCAGTCCAGATCATTTCACAGAGTTGTTGTTGTGGGAAAATGGGAGAAGGAAGGAATATTAAGCGTGTTCACCACTTTGAGGTTTTTTGTTTTTTATAAAAATAATAAAGGTAGGAAATGTGTGTGTGTGTGTGTGTGTGTGTGCGCGCGCGCACGCGCGCGTGCGTGCGTGCGTATAGGTCTTTGGTTATTCGGGTTTTCTCCCGCGTAAAATTGGAAGTGTCTTGGCGATGTTTTGACGAAGTCCCATTCGTCATCTTCAGGCTGGTGTTTTCGGCTTCGTGCTTCGAGGAGGTGCAATACCTGGAATGGCCACCAGATGGCAAATGATTTATTGTACAGTACTGTAGTCATTTAGGTATTTACAGCCCAGATGTGATAGCCCAACTTTTGCAAGAAGTGGATGAGGGTGGAAATATTTATGGGCCATCCTCCCATTCCATTAACAATTTCCAAATAATATCAAACAGATAGTTCCCTTTCTTCCTTTTGCAATGGACAGTGTCTTTTACTTGCATCCTGTGCAGTGTTTCTCAGCCCTGGCCATTTGAAGATGGGTGGACTTCAACTCCAGGGGAGGAGGAGAAGGCAGTGAGAGGCAACGCCTTGGGATTGCTTTATAAAAAGGGAAGGTGTGGGCGGTGCCGGTTGCTGAAGGCAACCGTTGCAAAGTATTTCATGGGATCATGTTCTGTTAGTCTTGCGGGTGACTACTTCTCTGTTTGCATCGTGTTTCGTGTGGACAATTTCCTCCATTTGGATTGTGTTTTGCTGCTTTTGTTTCTGGACTATTTGGCAGGTTTGTTACCCATATTAAAAAGGGGTTTGTTTTGTTCTGAGTCTCCAGCCTATTTTCTCAACAGGGGTTTGGTCCTTGTGCCTTTAACAAGGACAGCCATAGGCTGGGATAGAACAGTGAGCAGCTCTCAACCCTGATTTTGCAAGGCCTTTTAAAGACTGCCTAATCGAGGCAGAGGGACATTATCCCCACGGCAGTCTGTGTCTTGCTCTCCATCCTTCAGTTGTCTTATGACCTCCCCCCTCCTCTCCCCCCCCACTGGATGGAAAACAACAACAACACCCTAATCCAATTACATTAACGCCATTAAGTAGGACTTAATGCAGCAGACTGCTAAACCGAGGAGGGTGAAGGGATATTGGCCTTCAAGGGGAATTGAGGTAAAATTTCGAAAAAGCTTCCAGAGTAGAAGTACTATAAGGTTGACTATAAGAAGTACTACAAGGCTGACAACGCTAATTCTCTCTCATCTTTTCCTCCTTGGGTGCTTGTTTGCTCTTCCTCACACCCCCACCCCACCCCTTATGCAGTGTTTCTCAACCTTGACAATTTTAAGGCACATGGACTTCAACTCCCAGAATTCCACAGCCAGCAATGCTGGCTGTGCTCCCGGTATAATATCAATTGCACAATCAGTGGAACGGTACGGTGGTAATGCATCGCATTCCTTTTCACTAAACACTTCTTTAAGGTCCTCGTATACGGCTGGGAAGGGCCGCTCCCTTTCACTTCGTTCCACCGCCACCTTTATCCTCTCCTTACTACCTGGTCTACTACCTTGTGGTTTTGTAGGTAGTACCTTATCATCCTCTTCCTCTGGGTTCAGGAGATCTAGGACGTCAATCCGGTGTGGGTAGCGGACAACATGTAGGGCAGCCGGCTGTAATGTGGCCTACAGGCACGCCATGGATACCTCCCCCTATTGGAGTTACATTCAATGGAGACCCAGATAGACTAGCCATGTTCTTGGGACATGTTCTTAACCATCTGGATCATTTTGCGGCCCACTATACATCACAATGGGCTATAGTCGTGGCAGTTACCACTAACTTACAGGGTGAGACAGCTGCTTGGGCAGCTGATCTATTCGGCGACCATGCCATGGAGTTAGCAGATGTTGTCTCATTTCTTGATGCTTTGAGCATCAAGAAATGCAGAATGTGGAATTCCACAGCCAGCAATGCTGGCTGTGGAATTCTGGGAGTTGAAGTCCACATGCCTTAAAATTGTCAAGGTTGAGAAACACTGCCTTATAGCCACTTCTAAACCAGGTGGGGGTGGTCTTCAGCAAAATCAACTCTGGGTCGATTTATTTTCCAAAGCACCCGAAAGCAAGATTAAAAAAAAAAAAAAAACAGATGGAAACTAATCAAGGAGAGAAGCAACCTGGAATTAAGGAGAAACTTCCTAACAGTGAGAACAATTAACCAGCGGAACAACTGGCCTCCAGAAGTTTTGGATGCTTCCTCACTGGAGGTTTTAAAGACTGGACAGCCACCTGCCTGAAACGGCATATAGGGTCTCCTGCGTGAGCAGGTCGTTGGACTAGAAGACCTCCAAGGTCCCTTCCAGCTCTATTCTGATTAAAATGTAATTCCAAGGCCATTTTACGCACTTTCCCCTTGGGCTGCTATTCCGAGGAATGCAGGATTGTGGAATAAACACAGTTTTCAACTCCAGCTTCACTTACAGCAGAGTCAGGACTACGGGTCACTTAAGGAGTGGCTGGCTCCAGATTTTATTGATTTTTATTTATTATTTAGAGTTAAGAGAAATTTATATGCCCCCCCTCTTACTTTCAGTGTCTCTAGACAGCTTACAATTAGTCCTCAACTTACAAGAGTTCATTTAGTGACCATTCGAACTTACAACGGCACTGACGTATGACCGTTTTTCACACTTACGACCTTTGCAGCCTTCCCATGATCACGTGATCAAAATTCAGATGACCATCCTTGTGTCCTGGGGGGGGGAGTCATGTGATCCCCTTTTGCGACCTTTTGACAAGCAAAATCTGAAACCAGATTCACTTAACAACCGGGTTACTAACTTACCAACTGCAGGCGAGAAAGGTTGTAAAATGGGGCATAACTCACTTAACAAAAGTCTCACTTAACGACGGAAATTTTGAAGCACAATTGTGGTTGTAAGTCAAGGGCTGCCCGTATAATCATAGTACTTGCACCCTGTTTTTCGTTGCAGGGGATGTCTTTTGAGAACCCTGTCCAGATCCTTTGCCCTAGAGATCACAGTTATCTTCAAACTGCACACCCATTTTTTTTTCCTGTTCCTTCTTCCAGAGATTTGGAAGTTCTCTTCCAGCTCTCTGCTTTGATCCAGTGTAACCCGCAATTTTATGGCCTCAGTGCCTCCCCTGCATTCTGCGTTACGTGTAAATAGCGTCTCCCACCCCTTCTCTTATTTTGCAACGGGTAGCCACCCAAACGCCTGGCGTACACAATGAGGCAGGCCACATATCTCATATTAAATATTCCACTTCTTTAATTATTTGTTAAATCAGTTGGGTTGTTGTGGTGGTGGTTGATTGGTTTCACACGACGACACCGATCCCCAAAGGGGAAGGGGAGATGGGACAGAAAACACCTACCTGACTTTTATGTCCCCGCTCCCCTCACCTCTCACCTTACAAAGAACATAAAGGTTGATGGGATGTGGAATGGGACAGGCCCAGCACGATCAAACTGCCTTCAGCCCACCAGGAGTGAGTGATGCCTTCCCTCCTGCCCCTTTGTTTAGAGGGGGGGGGGGTTCTTTGAGGAAGGGGCTATGGCTGAAGTCGCAGGCTCAAGAAACAGGAGCGCGTCAGACCCAAGGGAGGGGGCAAAGTTAAGCACCAGTGGGAAGACAGCCCGAAACGTCACCCCCTCCCCTGGGTTACGGGCAAGCACCCGAAGGCCGTCAGGTCTCCGATGGCTGCAGACCCCTGGAGGGAAGGTGGTTTAAACTGCTGCCATGATGCTAGCAGAGCAAATGTACATGCACAAGAAAAGAAGTCCCACCCCATTTCGGTTTTCATTTACACATCTACAGAGTCAGGCTGAAGGGTTAGGACCACTGTGAGACTTGTGGACTTCAACTCCCAGAATTCCCCCAGCCAACACCTCCAATTCTGAGAGTTGAAGTCCTTCAACAGGGCTGGCTGGGGAATTCTGGGCGTTGAAGTCCACAAGTTTTAAAACGGCCGAATCTGGAGATTCCCTGGCTTAAAGGGAAGAGGCCTGAAAAAAAAAATCCCGCCGTTTTTCTTAGTCTAAAAACGAACCGTTTCAGAGGACACCCGGAAAGCTTTGCTGGGCCCTGAAGTTAGTCAACGCTGACCTCTGTCGCTCCTCACTTGCACACAGGCAGACATACACCATCACCCCTGCACACCCACCCACACGCACACGGGGGAAAGGAAAGGGGGGACACATTGGCACAGCTGGGGTGAGAGGGGGGTGAGGAGAGCAGGGATTCAGCTCCCCCCAATCTAACATCGTACTAATGCTAACCAGGCCACACTCCTTCTTCTTCCTGCACTCACCCCCCAAAAACCCCCATCCCTGTTTTGCTCTCATCTCCTAGGCAAGCTGTTTTTTCAAAGTGGCTGGTCCCTGCGTTCAATCCCAGCTCCAGAAGGGAATTTGAGTGTTGGAGTTAGAGGTTTTGCAGAGGTCAAAGAAAGATCAACACATAAACACCCCCTCCCCCAGGATATTTTTTCTCCCCCTCCCTTACACCTGGACCCTCTTCCCCAGCCTGCCTCTACAAACCGAAGCAGAATTCGGCAGAGAGCAGAAGTGGCTGAGAGGTGGGATGGAGCTGGGGGGAGGGTTCCCCTCCCCTGTGTCCAGTCTGGGACATGCATGCAGGACAGGACAAGCCAGGTGTCCCATCTGGGGAGGGGGGCTGGGGAAAGGGTGGGGGAGAAGGGCTTGATTGGTTCCGCTGTCCCAGCATGTGATCCTGGTGTTGCAATCTCTCGTAGTCATGGGGGGGGGGCAGGAGGGAGGACTAATTTGGGAGGGTCAAGATTCCCCCCCCACAGCAGGGGAGGCAACCAGCAGTGGACACAGGAAGAGATTCAGTAGTAGGACTCTTTTTCCACCCATCCTGTAAGAAAAAGGAATATCCATTAGGCATTCATTACAGATGGCTATTTGTGTCTCCCCCCCCCCTTATTCTTTTCAAATAGGATCCAGAACCCTCCTGTCTGTTTCGGCTGATCCTTATTTATACCCCGCCCCACCCCTACCTAGGTAAGACGATGAAATTGATAATGAAAATCATGATTAACCGGTCAGGAAGAACGGGGGAAATGGCTGAAGAAATGGCTCTCGGTTCTGCCTACTGGATAAGGGGACCCCAATGTCTACCCCTAAAACAGAGCCTTGAGTTTGGAAAGTAAAGGAGGAGGAACAGAAAGGAAGAAGGAGAAGAGAGAAGAATGAGAGGAAGGGAGTGGAAAGAGGAAAAAAATACAAGAAAAGAAAAAGGGAGGGAAGAAGGAAGGAAGGAAAAAAACAAAAAAGAAAGAAAGGAAAGAAAGAAAGAAAGAAAGAAAGAAAGAAAGAAAGAAAGAAAGAAAGAAAGAAGGAGGGAGGGAGAGAGGAAGGAAAGAGAAAAGGAAGAGAAAGGAAAGGAAAAAAGGAGGGAAGGCAAGAAAAAGAAAGAAAGGAGAGAGGAAGGAAGGAAAGGAAGGGAAAGGAAAGGAAAAAGTGAAGGAAGGAAAAATAAAAAGAAAGAAAGAAAGAGAAAGAAAGAAAGAAAGAAAGAAAGAAAGAAAGAAAGAAAGAAAGAAAGAAAGAAAGAAAGAAAGAAAGGAAGGAAGGAAGGAAGGAAGGAAGGGGCATGGAAAGGAAAGAACTCAAAGTGTAGAGAGGACAATAAGGGAGAAAGAATCATCTAGTTCATGAATTCCTCAAAGAAAAAACATACTTTTCTTAGGGCTGTTTGCAAAATGACCAATAAATGCAAAAATCCTGAACAAAAAATAGGAAGCCTTATTTTAAAGCCCCGGGATTGACAGCTTCTATTCTGTGGGCAGGGAGGTCTCTGTAAACCTTGCAGCCCATCCAGGCCCTCATAATTCCCCCCCCCCAGCCATCTCTCTCGCCCCCCCCCCTCTCACCTCCTGGGTTACGACGCAATATGAGTTTACGGATTTCATCATACACAAAAATGAGGAAACTGTAGGGAAAGGCGCAGAACCACCAGCTGGGCCTGGGGAGAGAACGGAGACATTCAGCCCAAGAGGGCGAAGGGGAGGGAAAGTCCTGGATCAGAGGTCACCCAGCCCTTCAGATGCCAACAAGTTGCCCCCCCCCCCCGAAAAAACCCCAAAATAAAAAGCTGGTACTCACTTCAAAGGATACATTCTTAGGGCCACGTCCATACCGGGGCAGTAGGATAAGAAGGCGGCTAAGGCAGTCTCCTCAAAGAGGCCAAAAATGAGGATCTTGTTTCTGAGAAGCGGAGAGGAGAGATGGAGATGGAGGGAGGGAGGGAAGGAGGGATGGACAGATGGAGGGGTGGAAGGAAAGATGGAGAGGTAGAGGAAGAAATGGATGGAAAGATGGATGGAAAGGAAATGGATGTATGGCGATAAGAGGGAGGGAGAGAGGGAAGAAAGGAAGGAGGGATGGACAGATGGAGGGGTGAAAGGAAAGATGGATGGGGAAGTAGAGGAAGAAATGGATGCGGTAGAGAGATGGAGGGGAAATGGAGAGATGGAGATGGAGGGAGGGAGGAATGGATGGATGGACAGATGGAGGGGTGAAAGATAGATGGGCAGGTAGAGGAAGAAATGGATGGGGTAGAGAGATGGATGGAGATGAAATGGAGAGATGGAGATGGATGGACGGAGAAAGATATCAGATAAATAGACGGATAGATGGAGTGATGGAGAGAGAGAGGACGATAGATGGATGGTTGCATGGATGGATGGATGGACGGACGGATGGATTGATAGGTGGTAAAAGGAAAAAAACAACATCAGCCCTTATACATGCTCTGAATCATTGCTACTCAGACCTAACCACCATCATCAAAGGACCCAAACGGGCCATCGCTTCCTTTCAGCATCCTATTTTCCTCGCAGATAATGGCTGTGTTCCCACAAGTTCTCTTCTTGGTTCCAAGCGGGAGCTTATGCCCTTTCTTTGGCAAACGGGAAACACAGCAGCCACCCTACCTCATGCCTTGCTGGAAGACAGAATTCCTTCTGGTTTTGCAAATAATCAAGTCAGCCCACTGCACCACCACGATGCTGACAAAGAAGGCGGTGTGACAGGTGAACTCCACCACTTTGCGTTGCTCGTAGGTCTAGGAGAAAAACAGCAGGGAATCAACGGTCTGCACCCTCTTCCAGAATTGTCTTCCTTCCCGGCATAGCAACCTGCTCTCTCGGTTCAAGATTAGACTCTTGGTGGGGTGCAAGGAAGAGATGGAAGTTCCTGCTTTCTCCTACCCTAGACCAGGGCTTTTCAACCTTTTCACCCATTGTACCACTTTTAGGATATGGCAACATCCGAGGACCACCAGTCGCCTAGCAAGGTGTCAAAAACTTGATGACCAAAAAAAAAAAAGGAAAAAAGTGATGAAGTACAGGTAGTCCTCAACTTACAACAGTTTGCTTAGTGACTGTTCAAAGTTACAATGGCACTGAAAAAAGTGCCCCCCATGCCACAGCCGAGCAAGACACCTGCCTGCCCGCCCGGTGGCGCTCTTCCTCCTGTCCGAGGTTTTCATTGTTGTGAGCATTTCTGTTGAGGATTGGCAGCAGGGGTGGGGTGGGGGGTGTTTGGTTTTTATTCCCCCCGTCTGCTGGGTGGTTGCAGCAGGTTTTGGTCACTTCACATGACCCTGGGACACTGGGACCATCATAAATATGAATCAGTTGCCAAGCATCTGAATGTAAATCACAAGACCCTGGAGATGCTGCAACATTCCAGCTGATCGGCGCTTCTTCTGGGCTCAGCAGAAGCAGCAGGATCAGTGCCGAGCTCCAGCTGGAGCCTGGCGCTGTTCTGGCACTTCCACTGAGCCCTGACAGCCTCGAAGAAGCGCCAATCAGCTGGAAAGTGGCACTGATCCCGGCGCTTCCGCTGAGCCCTGACAGCCCTGTAACTCCAGCCATCTCTCACTCAGGCTTGTGCGGTGCTGCCACCGGTTCAGCTCATTCCCCTCCCCCACTACCACTTTCTAGGATGGTTGCGTACCACCTGCCAGGTGCCAATGTACAACAAGTGGTACCCGTACCACTGGTTGAAAAGCCCTGCCCTAGACTCACTCCCCATACTGTGCAATAGCTGCTACAACTGTGCTGTTAATTTAGCCAAGGCTCAGTTCCAAATTAATCTGAGTGACGTTGGCAAGTTCTCTCAGTCACCAAGCTGGAGCAAGGATAAAGTAAGCCAACTACAGTTTAGGGCCTCGCAGAATTTGGAGTCTTAATGGACGATCGCTTAAATATGACCCAGCAATATGCTGCAGCTGCCAAAAAAGCCAACGCAGTCCTAGGCTGCATTAACAGAGGGATAGAATAAAGATCATGTAAAGTGTTAGTACCGCTTTATAACACCTTGGTAAGACCACACTTGAAACATGGCACCCAGTTTTCAATGCCATGACATAAAGATGTTGAGACTCTGGAAAGAGTGCAGAGAAGAGCCACAAAGATGATCAGGGGACCAGAGGCTAAAATGTATGAAGAACGGTTGCAGGAATTTAGTTTAAAGAAAAGAAGGATTGGGAAGGACAGGATAGCAGACAGCGTCTATCACTTAAGAGCCTTGGGTGTCTGACTCCAGCTCTCAGATTGAATCACCCTTCCAACAGTCAACACCCAGTAAATGATGGAGATCAAAAAACATATAAGGAACGGCTGCTGGAATTGGGTATGTCTAGTTTAATGAAGAGAAGGACGAGGGAGAACAGGATAGCAGTCTTCCAATATCTCAGGGGCTGCCACAAAGAAGAGGGAGTCAAGCTATTCTCCAAACCATCCAAAGGCAGGACAAGAAGCAACAGATGGAAACTAATCAAGGAAAGAAGCAACCTAGAACTAAGGAGAAACTTCCTGACAGTTAGAACAATTAACCAGTGGAACAACCTGCCTCCAGAAGCTGTGAATGCTCCAACATTGGAAGTTTTTAAGAAGAGACTGGATAGCCATTTGCCTGAAATGGTATAGGGTTTCCTTCCTGAGCAGGGGGTTGGACTAGATGATCTCCAAGGTCCCTTCCATCATCATCATCATCATCATCATCATCATTATTTAAAAGACACAGAAAATTAAAACAGATTTCTCTTTCTCTTTTCAACTAGCAATGCTCATTCTCAGAAAAAGACAGTGTCACAACACACTGGAAAATAGTGTCTTCAAAAGGTACAAATTCTAGATCCATTGCAACGTCACCCCTGCAAAATAATATTTCCAGAAAACCAGTTAGGGCCAGAAATATACGTGATCAATTACTGGAAATGAAATCAAGCACCAACACATAAAGAGCGATCGGATTAATTTCTGATATATAAAGGCAGAAATTCCTGGAGCAAGAACATCTAAAAAAAAACTAGTACCACTTTATACAGGTTGTCCTGGACTTATGGCCACAACTGAGCCCCCAATGTCTGCCGTTCAGTGAGACATTTGTTAAGTGAATTTTGCACCATTTTACGACCATGTTGTTAAGTGGATCACTGCCGTCGGTTAAGTTGTTACGCGAGTCTGGCTTCCCCCCATGGACTTTGCTTGTCAAAAGGTCGCAAAAGGTAATCACGTGATGCTGCAGCGGTCATAAATATAAGTCAGTTGCCAAGCCTCTGAATTCTGATCACGTGACCGTGGAGGAGGCTGAAAACGGTCGTAACTGTGAAAAACGGTCCTAAGTCGCTTTTTTTCAGTGCCGTTGTAACTTCGAACGGTCACTAAATGAACGGTGGTAAAGCGAGGACGACCTGTACAGTCTTGTTCAAACAAAACGGACGCTAAACAGGGGCTGGCTCTCAGCCTTCCTTTCTGTAAAGGGGTTCTCAACCTTGGCAACTTTAAGACTTGTGGACTTCAACTCCCAGAATTCCTCAGCCAGCAAAGAGGAATTCTGGGAGTTGAAGTCCACAAGTCTTAAAGTTGCCAAGGTTGAGAACCCCTGCAAAGTGTAAGCGATCCAGATGGCTACCTTGGTTCTCCAGCTTTCCTCTACTTACCCACTGCTGCCCATATGAGTCTTCCAGGTCGTTGACTGACCGCTCGTCCCAATTAAGACGGATGCCAACCAGAACGGAGGGCAGGAACCCGTTCTCAGCCAAGATCACAAAGTAGGAAAAGAACCCTCCCAGCGCCTGAATCATGCCTGAAAAGGAATTTGTGAGCGTTGAAGGAAGTCCTTTCTCAACCTCGACAACTTTCAGGTGCGTGGGGCTTCAACTCCCAGAATCCCCTAGCCAGCTGTGCAAAAGGGTTTATCGTACTTTGATAAGCGACAGCTCAATATTTCTGAATTACCGTTCATTAAACTATTGTTATGACTACTGTATTCCTGTCTAATTAAGCTAGGCCAGTGGTGGCAAACCTATGGCACGCGGGCCAGCCCTCTCTGTGGCACGCGCGCCATGCCCCGGAGATGGCAACTGTCCTCTTCAACCAGGCACCCGCTAACTTGCTGAGGTCCCACGTGGCTGGATGCATCCCAGCACCCATGCACTTGCTGGCCTCTGTGTGCAGGGGCCGATGGTGTCAGGCAACAGCTGCCCTGGCCCCTGCCTCGCCTTGCCCTGCGACATGGCACCCCCGCCCTGCCTCGCCTCACCCCACAGAACCAGCCTCCTGCCCACCACCTCACCCACCAGAGACCCCTGGATCTCCCCCAGTCCTGCCGAGCCCCCACAGGCGTCCCTCCCCAGAAGCAACATTGAGCTGGCCATGCCCACCCTGGCCATGCCCACCCATCTGCCATGCCCACTGTAGCCATGCCCACCCGGCACCCAACAGTACACAAGTGCATTTTGGGTTGAAGTTTGGGCACTCGGTCTCTAAAGCAGTGGTTCTCAACCTGTGGGTCGGGACCCCATTTGGGGTCGAACGACCATTTCACGGGGGTCACCAAACAACGCAGTCCGCCATTTTTTCCCCCTTTTCCTTAGCTGTGCTACTCCCTTTTATTCTATTGGCTTTTGAAAGCCAATAGAATAGACTCTCTTGAATAGAGTTTAATTCTATTGGCTTTCAAAAGCCAATAGGAATTGTCCAGGCTGTCTCTGCCCTGCTGAGCCCGCCAAAAGTCCCATTCTGCAAACGGTGCTGCACCAGTCGAGTAGTCCTCGACTTACGACCAGTTGAGTAGTCCTCGACTTATGACCGGTTGGGGGTTGCGGCATTAAAAAGGTTGAGAACCACTGCTCTAAAGGTTCGCCATCACTCAGCTAGGCACTCAGTGTTTGCTTTGACCAGTGAAACTTTTATATTTTGCAAATTTGTAGTTTTATCTCAATCAGCGAGGAGAAAAGTTTGGTTTGGGGGCTTATTACGGCGGTGGAGAAAGACTTTATAAGCCACTAAAATGCCACGCAGCTCAAATTTGCATCTCAGGCTAGTTTAACCTGGTTCCATGATCTGCCTCTCTGATGCAAGTGACATGAAGGAAACAAGGTGATGGCATCAGCCCTAAAAATGTTCACCAAGCATGTCTCTTTAAAATCAAATTTTAGGGTTGTTCTTTCCATATTTACAACACTGCCTTCTAACCAGTGGCGCACTGGTTAGAATGCAGTATTTCAGGCTAATTCTGCCGACTGCCAGCAGTTCGATTCTCAGCGGCTCAAGGTTGACTCAGCCTTCCATCTTTCCCAGGTTGGTAAAATGAGGACCCAGGTTGTTGGGGGGCAAATATGCTGACTCTGTAAACCGCTTACAGAGAGTTGTAAAGCACTGTGAAGTGGTATATAAGTCTAGGTCAGTGGTTCTCAACCTGTGGGTCGGGACCCCATTTGGGGTCGAACGACCATTTCACGGGGGTCGCCAAACAACGCTGTCCACCATTTCCCCCCCCCCCTTTTCCTTAGCTGTGCTGCTCCCTTTTATTCTATTGGCTTTTGAAAGCCAATAGAATAGACTCTCTTGAATAGAGTCTAACTCTATTGGCTTTCAATAGGGCTGAAGGCCTAGGACTGGGGCGACGGCGCGCGTGCCCACAGAGAGGGCTCTGAGTGCCACCTCTGGCACCTGTGCCATAGGTTCGCCACCACTGCCCTATAAAGATCCCCTTAATAGGACAAGGCCGACCTTGTCCAGTCCATCTCTTCTGAGCTTATCCCTCCTGGCTGCAGGCACCTCACTCACCAATCTGCCCGTAGGCCATACTGATGAGCCGTTCATTCACCAGCTTGTCAGTCCTGGGGTTTCGGGGCTGACGTTTCATGATGTCACTCTCAGCTGCTTCGTACGCCAAGGAGATGGCAGGCACCTAGAAGGAAAACCAAGAGCGGAGATTGTACAGTTGGCTACAGCAGAGGTACCCCAACCTTTTGGGCACCAGGGACTGCTTCCGTGGAGAGAGTTTTTTTTCGCGGACTGGAGGGGACGTGGTTTCATGTACTGCCTACATCCGCAGAAGGGCTTTGCTTGTTTGTGGGGACTGGTTTCTGGCCTGCTGTGGCCCGGTGATGGTCCACGGACCAGGGGTTGGGCACCCCTGGGCTAGATTACAAGCTTTGTCCCACCCTTGAAGGCTTAGCTTTTTCTCACTTCAGTCACTGGAGGACAGGCAAAGGACCAGAATGGAAAAAAAAAAAAAAAACCCAGGCTGTTTTGGGCCATTCCTACCAACTTTATGACGTCTTTTCCTTTTCTTTTCTCTTTTATTGTTTGACTCATGCATTCATTTTTTTCAAAGATAGCCAAGGGTACATTTAGGCAAGAAAAACCAAACATATAGGTATAGTATAGGGCAGTGTTTCTCAACCTTTTTAATGCCGCGACCCCCAACTGGTCGTAAGTCGAGGACTACTCAATTGGTCGTAAGTGGAGGACTACTCAACTGGTGCAGCAATGTTTGCAGAATGGGACTTTTGGCGGGCTCAGCAGGGCAGAGACAGCCTGGACAATCCCTATGGGCTTTTGAAAGCCAATAGAATTACACCCTATTCAAGAGAGTCTATTCTATTGGCTTTCAAAAGCCAATAGAATAAAAGGGAGTAGCACAGCTAAGGAAAAGGGGGGAAAAAATGGCGGACTGCGTTGTTTGGCGACCCCCATGAAATGGTCGTTCGACCCCAAATGGGGTCCCGGCCCACAGGTTGAGAACCACTGCCCTAGAGCAAACTGGTTTCATTTGCATCGGCTTCATTGGCACAGGGTTCTGTTCCTTCACCTCTTCGACCCCAGAATGATCCAGGCCAGGATCTGCTGCCCCTTGCAAATCAGGACCAAGCTCAGGGTTGGAATTCCGAGAACGGAGATCTCCCTTTGGCTGTGAAAAGGCTTGCAAAGTACAGGAGGAAGTGGGAGGATCAATGGACGCGAGGGGGAGAACTCACCATGTCGGTGCCCAGGTCGATGCAAAGGATGGTGATGGTGCCCAGAGGCAGCGGGATGTTGGCCATGATGAAGAGCAGAAAGGGAGTAATCTCGGGAATGTTGCTGGTCAAGGTGTAGGCAATGGATTTCTTCAGGTTGTCAAAAATGAGGCGTCCTGGAGAAGAGGAGACAAACGGGGAGAGAATGGGGCACACCTGGGGAGCAGGAGAAGCAGACTTCACCAAAATCAACACCAGTCAGATTTCTGCCCCGTTGCGACAAGCTTCTTCTCCTCTTTTTTTCCCCTCCCAGCATAGGGTTAGTAACTCTCACCCCCTCCTCTTTCAGAGCTTAGAAAGGGGTCTGTGGGAAAAGTACAGGAAGTCCTCGACTGTAATCGACCCTAGAATTTATGTTTATGTTTCCGAAGTGAGATATTTGTTATGTGTGTTTCGTTTCGTTTTTCAACGTTTCCTGTCCCGGTTGCTAAAATGAATCAATTTATTTTATTTATTTATTTATGAGACTTATATACCGCTTTAAGTGCAAGCACTCTCTAAGCGGTGTACACCAGTAAGCAATGTATATATATATATATATATTTACATTGCCCCCAACAATCTGAGTCCTCATTTTACCTACCCCGGAAGGATGGAAGGCTGAGTCAACCTTGAGCCGGTGAGATTTGAACTGCTGACCTGCTGAACACAGTCAGCTAAAGTGGCCTGCAGTACTGCACTCTTAACTGCTGCGCCACCTCGGCTCGTTGCCGTTGTAAAGGGACCCACACGGTTGTTAAGTGAATCCGGCTTCCCCATTGACTTTGCTCAATAGAAGGTTGCCAAAGGGGGGATACGTGACCCTGGGACACTGTAACAGTCAGAAATATGGGTTGGTTGCCAAGCGTTTGAATTTCGATCATGTGACCTGCAAAGGGTTGTAAGCTGCAAAGGGTTGTAAGTGTGAAAAACATAAGTCACATTCTTTTTTCAGGGCTGTTGTAACTATAGGAACTGCTGTAAGTCATAGAACTAGCTGTAGCTATAACTTCGTTAGCAGGAAGTTTATAACACAGGTAGTCCTCGAATTACGACCGGTTGCTTAGCAACTGTTCAAAGTTACGGCCGACCTCCCAAAAGCTACTTATAACCCAAATTTGAAGTTCTGATGGCCACCGCCACCAGCACCTCATGTTCACGTGACCATATGTGGGATACTCGGCATTTACGGCCGTTTGCAGCACCCTGTGGCCACCTGAGTGTGATTTACAACATTTTAATGCACTAGTGTTTCATGTCTTCCCCGTTGTCTCTCCGAGCTAAGAAGTCCTATAGCAGTGTTTCTCAACCTTGACAATTTTAAGGCATGTGGACTTCAACTTCCAGAATTCCACAGCCAGCGATGCTGGCTGTGGAATTCTGGCAGTTCAAGTCCACATGCCTTAAAATTGTCAAGGTTGAGAAATACTGTCCTATAGCATCCCCTTAGGCCAGGGGTAGGCAACCTTGGCTCTTTTATGACTGGTGGACTTCAACTCCCAGAATTCCTGAACCAGCCATGCTGAGGGGAAAGGGAGAGGTTTCCATGCTGAGCCATGCTGGCTCAGGAATTCTGGGAGTTGAAGTCCACGAGTCATGAGGGGGCCATAGTTCCCCCATGCTGGCTCAGGAATTCTGGTAGTTGAAGTCCACCAGTCATGAGGGGGCCATAGTTCCCCCATGCTGGCTCAGGAATTCTGGGAGTTGAAGTCCACGAGTCATAAAAGAGCCAAGGTTGCCTGCCCCTGCCTTAGGGACTCCGTTTCCATTAAGCAGCCGGAGGGAAGAAGAGAAACAGCTTTTGCTGAAGGGCTGAGCTGATTTCTGGCAGATGAATTTTGAAATTAGACTGCAGAACTTGCCATTTCAAGCTTATACATTGCTTGCTCCAGTCTACAGAGTGGGGTATGAGACCCATCGGCTGTGACACTGGGTAGAATCCTTGCCCTGAATCCTGATGCTATTCAGGTAATCCTCCACTTACAACAGTCCATTTAGCGACCGTTCGAAGTTGCAGCAGCACCGAAAGAAGTGACTTGTGACCATTTTTCACACTTACGACCGTTGTAGCATCCCCATGATTTACATTTGGATGCTTGACAACGGTTGCCGTGTCTCCTGGGGTCACCTGATCCCCTTTGGCAAAGTCAATGGGGAAGCCAGACTGACTAACAACAGTCTTACTAGTTTGACAACTGGGTTCCCTTAACAAACGTGGCGAGGAACATTGTAAAAGGGGGCAAAACTCAATGAATTTCTTTCACTTAGCAACATAATTTCTGGGCTCAGTTGTGGTAAGTCAAGGACGCCCAGAAATAAGAAACTAACAGTAGCTACAACGGAGTTCTACCCCCCGTCCGACTGTTGCTGACCTTCTTCAACTCCAGTGACAATAGAGGCGAAGTTGTCATCCAGGAGGATCATGTCGGCAGCCTGTTTGGAGACATCCGAGCCGGCAATGCCCATGGCCACGCCGATGTCGGCCTTTTTCAGGGCAGGGGAGTCGTTCACTCCATCCCCAGTCACGGCCACAATGGCACCCGGGGGGAGAGGGGAAGGAAGGCAGTGTCAGAAAGAGAGGACAGGTGCTGTTGCCAAAGTGGGTCTGGGTGAGGATGAAAGGGATGGTCTGGAGGGAGGAAACAGCAGTAGGAAACAGATGTGCTCAATCTACTCTAGGGGCTCTCATGGTTACCCTTGGAGAGCTGTATGCAACCAAAACTCATTTTAAGGTATGCTGATTAATGTACATTTAAAGTGACAATAAAGTTTCTATTCTGTTCTATTCCTATTCCTATTCCTATTCCTATTCTATTCTATTCTATTCTATTCTATTCTATTCTATTTTCTATTCTATTCTATTCTATTCTATTTTCTATTCTATTCTATTCTATTTTCTATTCTATTTTCTATTCTATTCTATTCTATTTTCTATTCTATTCTATATTCTGTTCTGTTCTATTCTATTCTATTCTATTCTGTCATCTATTCTATTTTATTCTTTCATTTTGTTCTTTCCTGTTCTATTCTATTTTCTATTCTCTATTCTGTCATCTATTCTATTTTATTCTTTCATTCTATTCTATTCTATTCTATTCTATTCTATTCTATTATTATTTTCTATTCTGTAATCTGTTCTATTCTGTCTATTCTATTTTATTCTTTCATTCTGTTCTTTCCTGTTCTATTCTATTTTCTATTCTGTCATCTATTCTATTCTATTCTATTCTATTCTATTCTATTCTATTCTATTCTATTATTATTTTCTATTCTGTAATCTGTTCTATTCTGTCTATTCTATTTTATTCTTTCATTCTGTTCTTCCCTATTCTATTCTATTCTATTCTATTCTATTCTATTCTATTCTATTCTATTCTATTCTGTATTTTGTTCTATTCTATTCTATTCTGTCATCTATTCTATTTTATTCTTTCATTCTATACTTTCCTATTCTATTCTACTCTATTCTATTTTCTATTCTGTCATCTATTCTATTTTATTCTTTCATTCTATTCTTTCTTATTCTCTGTTCTGTTCTGTTCTGTTGTAGAAAGTGGCACAGACCTGACCTCCCCAAGATTCTCTGAAGCCCTATCTGACCTTTCCCAAGGGACTGCAATCAGTCTGGTGAGATTCTTGTAATGTAGGTGATTAGCAATAAAGTTTCCGCTTGAGATTCTTCACGAGTGCTTCGGGTTACTTGCTCCTGACATCAACCTTGCCAGCTATATCCAATGATAATGTCTCACTGCAGAGACCATTAGAGGTAGTTCTCGACTTACAAGAATTTGTTTAGTGACTTCTCAAAGGAAGCAGTGGATGGAATTTGTAGGCTATTGGATGAGCAAAACCCTTCCCTCAGCCACTCAGTGTGTAAATCGATGCATTTTGTGTTGAATATTTTTACATGTATCGCACTGTTCTGCCTTGAAAATCCTTCATTACCTAGATGAACTCCCTGATAGCTGGAGAAGACAAATTTAATGGGATGAGATATGGACGCATGACATGGTTGGTTGGACATACTTCTGAGTCTCTACCTGTCTTTGGCAGCCTTCCACAATGATGAGCTTCTGCTGCGGAGAAGTACGGGCAAAGACGATCTCAGTGTGATTCTGTAGGATTTCATCAATTTGTTCTGTAGGCATGTCTTTCAAATCTGTCCCATGGATCACACAAGCCTTGGCATCTCTAGGTAGACCAAAGAGAGTAGACATATGACCACCCCATGTGCAGATAAGAGTGTTAACTATGGGCTGTTATGCTTCATCATTTCAATGTTGTTTTTATTGTCTTTGTCTACCCTGCCTTTTTCTAAGAATGCCCAAGAACACAACTACATTTCAGCCTTTCGTCAGGGTGAATGGCGACAGCCCTCTGAGAGATGCCAACAAACCACTATTGAACTGCCACACAGCGTAATGGAGAGATCACAACTAAATAAATACCTAATTGATACACAGAGAATAAAACCTAAATTTTGAAATTGTCTAAGTCAGGGGTATGCAACCTTGGTGACTTTGAGACTTGTGTGGACTTCAATTCTGGGAGTTGAAGTCCACAGGTCTTAAAGTTACCAAAGTTGCACACTCGTGATATAGGCCTAGCTTCACCCCTGATATAGGCCTAGCTTCAGTGAGAAAGCCATTTCAAAATGTGGTGACAAGCACAAGAAAAATAGCCTCATGCATGCGACTTCCTTGCCCCATCTCTGTCTTCCAACTCTTTGTGTTCCATGATGACCTGGAAGCTCTTACTTTTCCCCCAGACCCACCCATTGGTCTCCTCCCTCTTGCTTCCCCCTCACCTGGGATTGACCTGACTGACAGGAATATTTAGCCGGGCGGCGATGTCTTCCACGGTCTCATTGCCCTCAGAGATAATTCCAACACCTTTGGCGATGGCTTTAGCCGTGATGGGATGGTCACCTGTCACCATGATCACCTGTGAAGACAAAAACCAGAGTTATCAAAGGAGTCCTGGGGAAGATGAAAACTGTCCACTAGAGCAGAATGAATTGTCCAGTCCAATTCATTGCCAAGAGTTGGAAGTATTGAGAGAGAAAAGGCAATCTCCAAGGGCAGTTACTTCTAAGAAGGCCTAGACCAGGGGTAGGCAACCTTGGCTCTTTTATGACTCATGGACTTCAACTCCCAGAATTCCTGAGCCAGCCATGCTGAGAGGAAGGGGAGAGGTTTCCAAGCTGAGCCATGCTGGCTCCGGAATTCTGGGAGTTGAAGTCCACGAGTCATAAAAGAGCCAAGGTTGCTTTCCCCTGGCCTAGACAGTTTGCAGGCTGTTATAACTTCAGTCCAATCCTGTTGTGATTCCTCGCCAGCCAGTGGATCCAGCAGCTGACTCTGAGGAATCAGATGAGGAGGAAGAGGAGCCTGGAGTGACATCAGAGTCAGAGGAAAGCTCTGAGGAGCTCCAAGACTTAACAGTCGGACGAGGAGCCTGGCTCCTCTACTCGCGCTCAGGCTGAGACACAGCTGTGCTGGGAGTCTGAGTTCGACAGTGATGAAGAACAGTTGGGACAAATCCAAGATGCATGAATGCGCAGGCAAGAGAAGCGAGTAGGACAGAGGAATGCAATGGGGTGGCTCCAAAGGCAAAGGAGAAGGCATTAGGAAGCCTAATAAAAGGGAAGGTGTGGGAGGTGCTGGTTGCCGAAGGCAGCCATTCGTGTTGAGGATCAAGTTTCTGTGGACTGTGTTTGTTTGCCTTGGACATTGACTCAGGTCCATGTTTTTTTCTTACGGTTCCTGCCTGTTTCTTAGAAGAGGGGTTTCTCCTTGTGAGCATAACTAGGACTCATGTAGGTTGGGACAGAACAGATCCACCCCAGAAGCTGCCGTTGGCACATCACATCAAATATGCAAGGCTTGGGCCAATCCCTTAATTAATTCAAGACAAAAAAGGAGGACCTTGAACTTTGGAATCTGTGGATAAACTGATTAATTAACGAGCATTGGAGTGTATTTATGGTGTAGGTGTAGGGAGCAGATGACCCATTCCAGATCTTGTTGCTATAAGGAGACAATAACAAAGGCTGCTTAGGAGAGCAAATTGGCTTTCTGGAGTATCAAAGTTGAGATAAAGAGATTTCAAAACACCTGCATTGAAGCCAGATTACATCTGAATGACATCTCTGAATAGAACAAAGCTGTCCAGCTATTCACTCAAGGAAATACTTGCAGTTCATCTTCTAGACCAGCGGCCCCCAACCTTTTGGGCACCAGGGACCGGTTCCATAGAGAGCGGTTTTTCTGTGGATTGGAGGGGGTGTGTTTTCGTGTGTTGCCTGCATGCTACGGATGGGGCTTTGCTTGTTCGCGTGGACCAGTTTCTGGAATACTGCGGACCGGGGATTGGGGACCCCTGTTCTAGACTGTCCAGTTGCTTTACCTTGATGCCAGCGCTTCGGCATTTCCCCACAGCATCGGGCACTGCAGCACGGGGTGGGTCAATCATGGACATGAGTCCCACAAAGCAGAGGTTATCGGTGGAAAAGTTGACATCATCACAGTCAAAGGCGAACCCTTTGGGATACTGCTCTTCAGGTAAGTAGTAGTGGCAGAAACCTGGAAGGAAAAAAAGGCGGGTCAGGAAAAAAAAAGGGAAAGTTTGATCTGGAAATCAGGATGGCCAAATCCTAGCCAATGGTTTTGCTTGTATCTTAGAGGCTACGGACACCCCAATGTAAGGTAAGCCATTCAGGACTGGCTCTGAGATAACACTCTAGGCCAGGGGTAGGCAACCTTGGCTCTTTTATGACTCTTGGACTTCAACTCCCAGAATTCCTGAGTCAGCATGGCTCAGCATGTTTCCCCTCAGCATGGCTGGCTCAGGAATCCTGGGAGTTGAAGTCCACCAGTCATAAAAGAGCCAAGGTTGCCTACCCCTGCTCTAGGCCAGTGTTTCACAATCTTGGCAGAACGAAGATGTGTGGACTTCAACTCCCAGAATTCCCCAGCCAGTATGGCTGTTGCTAAATACTCTGAGAACCGAACTCCACCTGTCTGCTGCGTAACCAGGTTGCGAAAGGCTGCACTAAGTCATGAACCATGGCTTATAAAGCCATAAGAACTTGATTCGCACAACCCTGTAAGCCGCAACCAAGCTTCATTAATGCTGGTCAGGTTGTTACAGAATCCCTGAGCACAGCTTGATGCCCCTTTCAATTAAGCATCCTTCCCTAACTAGAGACTGTTGTCCCCTACCTATCTTGAAACATCTGGATTCTGAAATGATATCTAAGTTTCTACAGAGGTTATCTGACTTCTTGCTGGCTTTTTTCTTTTTAAAAAAACACAACTTATTGACTTTTCCAAGATGTTGTATGACATCTAGGCCTTCTGCCCATTGGTGTCTTGCAGTCCTTCCACAACCCAACATCCTCTCCCCAACCATTCCTACCGAGCACCCTTTCTCCAAGTCCTCCAAGTTCCAAGTAAGCATTCTGGAACGCTTCTTTCAGTTCTTCATCAAGAGGCTGTTCTTTGCCTTGTAACAGAATGGTGGAGCATCGGTCCAGGATGCGCTCGGGGGCCCCCTTCATCACCAGCAGGTAGCGGTTATCGTTGGGGTCCTCGACCTCATGAATCGAAAGCTGCAACGGGAGCGGAAGACCCGATCTCTCAGGAACCAAAAGAACACTCCCAGATTACAACAGCGGAGGCCACTGTCAACGCTGCTAACATTGGATGTTCTTGCTTTGGCAACAGATGGAGATGCAGCCTTTTCCCTTCTTATACTTTACTCTTAGAATTAGATGATAATGGGGGAGGGGGAGGAATGTGATGGGAATTCATTAGACATACAATATTGTAATAAGAGCTGATAAAGCATGGCGGGATAGCAAACTGGGCGGAAAGCCAACATTTCAAACTAATTGGAGAATGTGATTTATGACTGTTAGTTGTAGGAGGGAATTCTGCTTTGATACTATGCGCTGAAGGGAGGGTAAGTCAGATTTTGGCTTCGCCAATGTACCGTGCCGAAGCTATGCTGTCTCGATTAAAGACTCTTTAAGGTAAACAATGCCTCAAAGTTCTTCGAAGAGTTTCATCTTCCGGAACCATGACAGCCGCTGCTTGCCAGACATTGCTCATGGAGTGCAATGCAGAATGACAAAAGTTTGGATTGCTTGGGGTCCTTGGTGCTCTCTGAGCTCGGTGGCTTTCTTGAAATGCACTGATGATGCTCCCTAGTTTGCTAATGAAACGTCTGCAAGAATACCACCAAGCTCAGAGAGCACCAAGGACGCCATAGTTCACAGCTACAAATACTCTCTTCAAAAGTCTGCATGGTATGTCAAATCATCTTGATTTGTTTTACTGTGCTCTAGAAGAAACCAACGTTACATCGGTGTCCCAAAGGTGCTTTTTCAAAAGGCAACTGGACGTCCTTTGTTTTCTCTCCTGAAAAAACGTTTCGCTTCTCATCGAAGGAGCACCTTTGGATGGCCAGATCTTAACCAAGGATCTTGCTTGAATCTTAGCGCTACAGACTCTTCGTGATCTGAAGATGCTTCTTGGATGTGAAGCGAAACATCTTCAAGAGACAAAGCAAAGTCCTGTTGCCTTTTGAATAAGTACTGTGGGAAGTCAGCCCCCCCCCCCCAGAGAAAGAAATATTTTTGGAAATATTTAAAAAGCAGAATATATTTCCCTAAAGGATTTTAAAAGCAGAAACCAACCCTGCCCCCAAGTCTCTCTGTCCCAAACAGATACCAGGTCTGCAGAATTGCAGATGTGATAATCTAGTCAGAAAGACCGGAATCAGGAAACTGGGATTAGGAGGAAAGATCCCTAGAATCAACACACCAAAAATCTAAGAGTCATCAGCCACAGCCACAGGGAAGCAGGATATGACCCTTGGGACATAATAGGATTAACCCACCACCATCAGAATACCAGAAAGGCACACTCAGACTCAGGTCAAATTTCATGCCACAGGGACAACTCCAAACAAAAGGCTCCAGAGGGTATAAAAACCCATTCCCTACATGGGCTCTCTCTCTTTTCTTCCAGAGCCATCTTCCTGTCTGACTCTCCTCTTCAATAAACTGCTACCTTCTTTCTAAAGCAGTCACCATGTTGTTTATTCCCAGCTTGGACTGAAACATGATGAAGACTTTTCTCTCAACACTACCTTTGGGACAACCATGAGCTAGATGACTGAGAATCTCTATAAACATTACATCAGCCATTAGATGTTAGCCAAGCTCCATCATTTTTGGACCTAGGCAACAATAAAAGCAATGCATATCAACATGACATAGGAGCACCACCCCTTCTGTCTCTGGAAATGATTTGCCAATTTTATTCCAGGTCATAGCCCACTGAGAATCCTAGCTAATCCTTCCCACATGTCAGCAGAAAAGATGGGGATTAAAGCTGATGGGCTGAGATTCCCAGAATGTGGAGACTGCGTTGGCTGTACAATTTCAGAACAGAGAACCATCAGTAGGATGGTTCTGATACACAAACTGGCCAGATATACATTTCCCGATAAATTACTTCATCCAAGCTTCCAAATTATGCATTTTTCTTCTTTTTTATGTGTGGTGGTTGTTCTTTTTCTTTAAAAAAAATGATTGGGGGATTTAAATTAGAATAGTTCTAATCACTACTTACGATTAATTTGAGAGTTCTAATTACTACAGGTGGTCCTCAACGTATGAACTACAATTGAGCCCAAATTTTCTGTTGCTAAGTGAGACATTTGTTAAGTGAGTTTTGCCCCATTTTGTGAATGTTAAGTGAATGTTGTTAAGTGAATCACTGCAGTTGTTAAGTTAGTAACACAAGTTGTTAATTGAATCTGCCTTCCCCATGGACTTTGTCAGAAGGCAAAAAAGATGACCACATGACCACAGGACACTGCAGCCGTCATAAATTTGAGTCAGTTGCCAAGTATCTAAGTTTTGATCACGTGGCAATGCTGCAAAGGTCATAAGCATGAAAACTGATCATAAGTTACTTTTTTCAGTGCCATTTTAACTTTGACAAGTCACTAAATGAACTGCTGTAAGTCGAGGACTATCTGTACTTACTATCGGTTCTAAACTTCTAAACTAAATTAGTCCTAAATAGTTCTAATTACTATCAGTTCTTTAGTTTTTTTGATGTAAGAAACTAGATAACGTTGGAAATCAAAATATATTTTCAATGTGAGCTAAGCCTAAAAATGCCATCTTCAGAGGGTTGTTTTTTTTTTTAATGGTGCTGCTTAATACCCTGAGGACAACCTTAGTTTTGCTTTCAGTTCAAGAAGAACTTCTGTTTATATCAAAGGTGTTCAATCTTGGCAACTTTTAGACTTGTGGACTTCAACTCCCAGAATTCCCTAGCCAGTTAGGCTGACTAGGAATTCTGGGAGTGGAAGTCCACAGGTCTTAAAGTTGCCAAGATGGGACACCTCTCGTTTATATAAAAGGACACCTCTAGAGTTAGATGCCTCTTTGAGGGACACTCAAGAATCCATACCTGGTATTTGTTGGTGGAGTTGAAGGGAATTTCTGCCACTTTTTTGTTCTTCTCCCTCATCAGCTTCACAGATCCAGACGAAAGCTCGATACATTTCAACAGGGCTGATTCAGAAGCATCTCCTGCTACGTCACGCTTGGGGGTAAAAGAGGATTATTTCAGTTTTCTGTGTTTGGATATGCAGCCTGGCCTTCTCTCCTCATTGCTACCACTCACCGTCACCTCACTCTCCTAATGATGGAGCTAACTTCATTCATAAATGTAGGAAGTGGTGCCACAGGAGAAGATAGGCTGCTAGATTAGGTGGGTTCAAAAGAGTCCAGTACAATTGCTGGAGGACAGATCTATCTGAGGCTACCAGACTTGATGACCAGGTGCTGATTCCAGGCATGGAGACAAGTCTACTTCTATATAGAGAGTATATGTGAGCAACAACAGATGTCTTGATCTCCTCCTTCTGGTGGGCTTCCTAGATGCAGCTGGTGGGCCACCAAATAAGATGGAATGCTGGTTAATTAGGCCTAGGCCTGATCCAGCAAGCTGATTCTCAGGTTCTCGTATTTCCATCACACAGTATAGAAATTAAAACTCTTTCCCTTATACTTGACCTTCAACCTTCACATCTTCACCTGTCCTTATCTCCAGCACAATGAGCATTCTCAATTTTCTAGATGGCTGCTAGGGCCCAGCTGATGTCTCCTCACAAGGAGTGGCTCTCCTCTGCTCACCTTGAGGATGGGCACATTCTCTTGGCCCCCCTTGAAGACCGCTCGGTTGCAAAGCCCAGCAACATGAGACAAAGCCAGCCAGGTAGGGGAGCTTTTATCAAAGGCCGTGCCTGCAATTAAAAAATAAAGGATGCTGGTGAGGGGGGAAGTTCTAGGTTAAGAAGGGACGTCTCTTGAACTGTAGGCCTGGGAGAAAAAGGAGAATTAGGTGAGAAAGAAAGAGTAAGGGAGAATGGGTCACTCTTGAACAAGAGAAAGATGGAATTCAATTTCAATCAAGGTTCTACATCAGCCTTGCTCAGTCGGTTACACACAATTCTCACCATGCAAGCCAAACTGGGAGCATCTGGGGTGGATCTAGAGCTGAGCTAGAGATTCCAAGAAGACAGGAAACCCCCTCAGCTTCTATTCTTTCACCTACGAAGAGGTCCTCTGTCAACTCTTCTTAAGGCAAGATAGGAAAAGGATATTCTCTTTCCCCATAATAATCCTCACCGGATTGATCCTCAGTGGTATCAGCCTCATGGATCTGGTTGTCGAACCACATGTGGGCAACAGTCATTCGGTTCTGAGTCAGGGTCCCTGTCTTGTCTGAGCAGATGGTGGAGGTGGAGCCCAGGGTCTCCACCGCTTCCAAGTTCTTCACCAAGCAGTTCTTACGAGCCATGCGTTTGGCAGTCAAGGTCAGACACACCTAAATGGGGGGAATAAAACTTAGTGGTGGGCTGAAGAAAAGGACCCCTACCCAAAGATACCCAATCTGGCATTTTCCTTGAAACTCAAGAGTGTTCCAATATCTAAGGGCCCCCCACAAAGAAGATGGGGTCAACCTATTGTCCAAAGCACCAGAAGGCAGGACAAGAAGCAACGGATGGAGACTAATCAAGGAGAGAAGCAACTTAGAATGAAGGAGGAATTTCCTGGCAGTGAGAACAATTAAATCAGCAGAAGGACTTGCCTCCAGAAGTTGTGGGTGCTCCAACACTGGAGATTTTCAAGAAGACATTGGACAACCATTTCTCTGAAAAGGTATAGGGTTTCTTGCTTGAGCAGGAGGCTGGACTAGAAGACCTCCAAGATACTCCCAAATCTATTATTCTTCAAAAAGTGAGCCCAACATCACACCATTTCTTTCTAATAGAATATTAGAATATCATCATCACCAACTTTGGGAAGCCAAGATAAGATATCAACACAGGGGTTTTTTTAGCAGATATAGCAGAATAGCAGAATTGGAAGGGACTTTGAAGGTCATCTAGTCCAACCCCCTGCTCAGGCAGGAAATCCTATACCATTTCAGACAAATAGCTGTCCAGTCTCTTCTTTAAAACTTCCAGTGTTGGAGCATTCACCGCTTCTGGAGGCAAGCCATTCCCCTGATTAATTGTTCTCGCTGTCAGGAAATTCCTCCTTAGCTCCAGGTTGCTTCTCTCCTTGATTAGTTTCCATCCATTTTCTCTAGGAAGTTCTTTGGCGATCTCTGGTCAGGTACTTACTGTGACTGTAGCCAAGAGTCCTTCAGGGACATTGGCCACGATGATGCCAATGAGGAAAATGACAGCTTCTAGCCAGGAGTAGCCCAAAATGAGAGAGAGGACGAAGAAGGAGACCCCCAGAAAAACAGCCACCCCTGTGATCAGCTGGATGAAGTGCTCAATCTCCCGAGCAATGGGGGTCTTGCCAACCTCCAGACCCGAAGCCAAAGTGGCAATTCGACCCATCACTGTCCGGTCACCAGTGGCAATGATAACTCCACGTGCTGTGCCTGGTGGGAGATGAGACAAATCCATGGGCATGCAATCTCTCTCCGATTTTCTGCAAGTCTAACAACTTCCAGATCTGGTGTGACCATAGCTCCTAGAATTCTCAGCTAACTTGACCATTCTGGCTAGAAATTCTGGAAGTTGTAATCTCTGCTGTAGATTTGTGTTGGAGGTTCACTGCTCGTAGCCATATTTAAACCAACTTCGGAACCACTGTTTGATAACAGAACTGTAACTTACAAATCTCCCTGGCTTCCTTGAGGAGAGACACAAACTGTTAAGCTAATTTAGGTCGAGAGTTTAGGTTTCAAAGCGCCAGGGAAATCAGACAATCCAGGCAGTTCAAATAGGTACAAAGATTTATCGCAAGCTTAAGCTCTCTATAAGAATCCGAACTACTAATGGTCAAAGCAAATTGGCGGTAGATAAGAATCAACAGAATTCAAGGTGGGCTGGACTTAGATCTCTTGTTGTCATGAAGAGACTGATGACGCGTTTGACCCCACCTCCCTTGGGCTTAGTCTGGTCCTGTCCTACATTAAGTAAGCCCTTACTAAATTACTCTAGATTTCTCTCTAGCAATCCTTCTCATAGATTACGGCAGACATATGCCCAGCAGCCACAAAGCCTGTGTAAACGTGTTCTCTTAAATCAGTGTTTTTCAAATTAGGCAACTTTAGACCAACTGGAAGCTTATTCTAACCCAAATTCAAGCCCTACCTTCCACGCAGTTGGTAGAGAAAAAAGTGATATTCCGGGTCTCAAGTGGATTGTCATGGGTACAATCTGGAGAACGGGTCTGAGGCTCGGATTCACCGGTCAGGGAGGAGTTATCCACCTAGAGAGAAAACGCCGCGCCCTGTCAATTCAACTAGAAAGGTTTGCAGTTAAAATTATCCTGGTTTCATCACAAATTTGGCAGGTCAACAAACTGACAGATCTGGTAGCGTAATCATCGCAACTCATTTAAAAGGACAGATGGTTTTTGCATGTTACGTAAGTCTGGGAAAGCCGATCACTTTTGTGACAACAATCCAAATTCATTCTTCTTCCACTTCTCTGGCGCTGCTCCATGTGGAACAAAAGAAACAGGGAAACCCGAGCTGCAAGGTTGTTTAGTGATACAACTTGCACAACGCTCTCGTCTTGTGCTTGGTAATCTGATCTCTCCGCTTAGATTTGGTTAATGGGAGAGAACAGTTGGTAAAGGACAGGACGAATTGCTCTAATTCCCAGTGGCTTGATAGTTCCTTCCAGAGCTGTAAGGAACAACAGCTGAAGGAGTCTGTTAAGATTTTCACCAACCTTGCAACCGTGGGCGGAGATGATCCTCAGGTCAGCTGGGACTCTGTCTCCTCCTTTCACCTCTACCAAGTCCCCAACCACCACGTCTTCAGCGTTGAGTTGCATCTTCTCGCCTTCTCTGATCACCAGGGCTTGCTTTGAAAGGAAAAACAAACTTAGTTACATTAATAAATATTCTGGATTCTCAGTCAGGTGCTGACACGTATTCCCATAAAACATTTCTTCTTAAATCTATCATTTTCCAAATTCATTGGCCATGCAACACTCACACTGCCTAGGAATGTACATTGGGAGACCCAGCAGGTCTGGAGGTAGCCAAGTTGTCTCCAGGAGAGAACATGGTGTTGTTCTTGTTATTATTATCTAACACACACGCAGCTCTTGCAAAGTGGCCCCAAAGATGCTTTTTCATGAGGCAACTGGACTGTCTTCTTTTTCTTTGGCTGAGAAGCGAAAGGTCTTCAAAGAAAAACAAGGAAGTCCAGTTGCCTCGTGAAAAAGCATCTTTGGGACAACCTGGGGGACATTTAGTTCTTGCAAAGGTTTCCTATCTGATCTCATAAACCCATGATTCTAAACAGTTGTGTTCACTCAACAGACTTAACTAGACAATTAATGAAACCCCTTTTTGACATCGTACAATAAACTGAATCCTAAATTAATTTAATGGTCTGGGTTCACACAACACACACCGGAAAAACGAGGTTAAAAATAAACTCAGCGTGGCACCTTACGTCACCCATTCCTTCTCACAAAATCCTCCGAAGTGGATCATAATGTCTGCTCCCATTTTACAAATAGATGAGCTGAAAGATACTATCAATGACAATAATAAATAGGTCAGGGGTGGGCCACCTTGGCTCTTTTATGACTCGTGGACTTCAACTCCCAGAATTCCTGAGCCAACCTGGCTCAGCTTGGAAACCTCTCCCTTTCTCCTCGGCATGGCTGGCTCAGGAATTCTGGGAGTTGAAGTCCACGAGTCGTAAAAGGGCCAAGGTTGCCTACCCCTGGCCTTGAGGGAGCTGGGCTGTGTTGTTAGCATAAACCTAGACCAGGGGTCGGCAACCTTGGCTCTTTTATAACTCATGGACCAACTCCCAGAATTCCTGAGCCAGCCTGGCTCAGCTTGGAAACCAATCCCTTTCCCCTCAGCATGGCTGGCTCAGGAATTCTGGGACTTGAAGTCCACGAGTCATAAAAGGGCCAAGGTGGCCTACCCCTGACCTATACCTTACCTATAAAGATGGCTTGGGCCTAGCTTTATGGGAAATTTGAATACAGGTAGTCCTCAACTTACAACAGTTCATTTAGTGACTGTTCCAAGTTACAACAGCACTGAAAAAAGTGACTTATGGCCGTTTTTCACACTTAACGACCATTGCAGCATCCCCGGGGTCACGTGATCAAAATTCAGACGCTCGGCAACTGACTCAGATTTATGAGGGTTTGCAGTATGCCGGGGTCATGTGACCCCCTTTTGTGGCCTTCTTACAAGCCAGGTCAATGGGGGAGGGGGTGGGGGAAAGCCCCTTTCATTGAACAAGTATGCTACTAACTTTAACTAAATTGTAGAGATTCACTTACCAGCTGTGGCAAAAAAAACATCATAAAATGGGGCAGCAGTCGCTTAACAAATGTTAAGTGAACCACAGAGCCACAGAAAGTTGGAGGGGCTCCCTTGCGATTGTTAAGTCGTGTCAATATAAAAGAGAATTCGTCAGGTGTGTCCTACCTGGGGCACCATGTTCTTGAAGGATTCCATAATCTTGGAGCTTTTGGCCTCTTGGTAGTAGGAGAAACAGCCGGTGATGATAACAACAGCAGCCAAGACAATACCCAGGTACAGCTGTCCCAAGAGAAGAGGCAGGAAAGGTTGGGTCACCATGTAAGGTTTTCCACTTAACCTCACAATTGCCCCAGCATTACTCAGGAATTTAAAAGAGCCAAAGAAACTCCTGAGCCGAGGTTTCAGCAAGCAAACAACTTTTATTTGGATCAAAACAGAGTTGGGTGACCCCATCTCTCTTCGTGGCTGGTAGAGAGATGAAGGCAACCACCAGAAAAGATGTCTTCCACCTTTTATACCTTTTCAGAACAAAGAGATCAGGTCTTGGTACCAGGCATAAGATGGCACAAAAAAACAATTCCTAGATGATGACTCATACACAGCAACCCAGGCTCCATCCGTAACTCCTTTTCCCCCTCCCCTTACTGTGCTCTTTTCATATAAGCAATCACCTGTACCTAAAGCATGAAGCCCTTACTTTTCCAATATATATATAAAGCATCTGATCAAGCAATTAACTATAAAATAATGATTACAAAATAACAAAACAATGATTACATGATAACACTATAATTATCAATATAAAATGGTTACTATATATAAAATAAATGCTAATGTCAAACTTAAACATACTAAAATCATAAGCACAATAAAATCCTTTCAACCAGAAGGACCTTCAGATCCCCCGTCTTTTTTCCTCCCACGGGGACACCCTCCAAAGAAGTCATCCCACCAAAACTCACATTGTCTCCTGCGGGATCCTCCTCAGTTCCTGCCTGGATGCCGTAGGCCAGGAAGCAGAGTATGGCACCGATCCACAAGAGGATGGAGAAACCTCCAAAGAGCTGGCGACAGAACTTGACCCATTCTGGAGTGGTTGGCGGTGGAGTGAGAGCATTGGGGCCATCACGAGCCAGGATCTCTTGGGCTTTGCTGTGGGTCAGACCCTAATGGGCAGAGGGAAAGGAGGGATGAAACCATCTCTGTATCCCTATGGGGGACATGATAGCAGTATTCCAGTATTTGAGGGGCTGCCACAAGGAGGAGGGGGGGCAATTTATTTTCCAAAGCACCAGAAGGCAACACAAGAAACAATAGATGGAAACTAATCAAGGAGAGAAGCAATCTGGAATTAAGGAGTAACTTCCTAACAGGAAGGACAATTAACCAGTGGAACAACCTGCCTCCAGAAGCAGTGAATGCTCCAACACTGGAAGTTTTTAAGAAGAGACTGGACAGCTACCTGTCTGAAATGGTGTAGGACAGGTTTTCTTGTTTGAGCAGAGGGTTTGATTAGAAGACCTTCAAGGTCCCTTCCAACTCTATTTTGATTGAAAGTTTATTCAGTCAACTATTACACAGGTTCCCTAAAGGTTCTTTATCTGCTGGTCAGCTGATTTCCTCCACCAGCTAGGTCATGGTGCTATGGAGCCTCCAGGCAGATGTTCAACCTATCTCCAGTCCTTGAGGAACAGAAGAAAAGCTCACTAGGCTTGGTGTGGAATGTCCTCACCTGCACACAATCGGTGTTGTATTTCCGGCAGACTTCTTCGATGGACATTTTGTGCTCCGTCTGAAAGACATTGCAAAAAGGGGGACGCTTAGAAGGACCTTCTGCTTCCTCCCTCCATCTCCATCATCTCTTGCAGCTCCACCCAATCACCCAATGGCCATCATTGGATCCAGACAGGGCATCCCTCCCCACCTTTTGCAGCTCCACCCAATCACCCAATGGCCATCATTGGATCCAGACAGGGCATCCCTCCCCACCTTTTGCAGCTCCACCCAACCACCTCTGTTGGATCAAGTTTGGTCATCACTCACCATCGCCACCTCTTTCTTAAGATCATCCAGATCCCGAACCTTCTGCGGAGCTTTGGTCTTCTTGGGTGAAGCATCATCATGTTTGTCTTGGGTGGTAGCCACACGATAACTGTCTGAGCGCCCGTACTGTGTGGAGAAGGACCGGCGCAGAAATCAGAAAAACACCCCATCGAAAAATGCAAATCTTCATCTCAAATTGTTTTCCAATATTGCTCCAACTTGCCACCTACAAGTAGTCCTCAACCTAACAACCACAACTAAGCCCAACATTTCCATTGCTAAGTGAGACGTCTTCGGTGAGTTGTGCCCCCTTTTGATGACCTTTCTTTCCACAGTTGTTAAGTGAACCACAATATGGTAAGTTAGTGAACCTGGTTGTTAAGTGATTCTGGCTCCCCCATTGACATTGCTTGTCAAATGGTTGCAAAAGGGGATGACCTGGCCTTGGGACACAGCAACCGTTGTAAGTACGAGTCAGTGGCCCAGCGTCTGAATTTTGACCACATGGCCGTGGGGAGAATGCAAAGGTCGCAAGTGTGAAAAAAGGTCACGTCCCTTTTTTTCAGCGCCATTGTAACTTTGAATGGGCATTAAATGAATTTTTGTAAGTCGAGGACCACCTGTACACCTGCTCTGAAAGTAACTGATAAATCAAGCCATTCTGAACAGGAAACACAAAAAATGTAGGGAGGGTGTCAACGCTGCTAACATCGGATGTTCTTGCTTTGACAATATATGAAAATGCAGCCATTTCCCCCTTAACTTGTGTGTTACTTTTAGAATTAGAATTAGATGATACTGGGGGGGGGGGGAGGAGGAAGAATGTGTATGAGAATTAGTTAGACATAACAACATCATAGTAGTGTTTTTTCAAGGCTGTTTTAGATAAGAGCTGATAAGGAATGGCAGGTAGAAGAACTGGAGGGAAGGTCTGCATTTCAAACTAATTGGAGAATGTGATTTATGACTGTTAATTAGAGGAGGGAATTGTGCTTTGATACTATGTGTTTAGGGGAGGAGAATTCAGATTTATGTGCAGATGCCATGCAACTTGAATAAAGATTCTTTAAGGTAAACAATGCCTCGAAGTTCTTTGAAGAGTTTCATCTGTCGGAACCATGACAGAGGGTCAATAAATGGGGAGGGGGGAAGCCCTGTGTGGACAATTCTCCTCTCAACAATTTGGATAGGAAAGCAACTCCTGTTTGTATCTGATGGTTTGGAAGCCTTTACAGATTTTAACTGGTATCAATTGGTTTAACTGACTGTTTCTAATTTCTAACCTACAACCATTCATTTAGTAACCGTTCAAAGTTACAATGGTGCTGAGAAAGTAACTTATGACCAGTCTTCATATTTATGACCATTGTAACAATCCCATGGTTGTGTCATCAAAATTGTGGTGCGTTGCAACTGGCATGCATTTATAGTGCTTGCAGCATCCCGGGAACAAAAGGTTGCTTCCCAGCCAGCTTCCAACAAGTCAAGGGATGAAAGCAGATCCGCTTAATGACCACCTTCCTTCTAACGACTGCAATGATCCACTTAACAACCGTGACAAAACAATTGTAAAATCAGGTGCTACTCACTTTAAGAACTGTCTCGCTTAGCAACAGAATTTCTGCTTCCAATCGTGGTTGCAAGTTGAGGTCTGCCTGTATATATGCTGGATCCCTCTAACAAAGGTATTCAGGTAAATGGTGTACAGTAGGAGCAAGTATCCATAGTATTACTCTGGTTGGCAGAGTAATTTTCAATTTCACACAACACTCTACAGTAGGCTAGGCCAAGGTGGGTCACCATATTGTAGGAAAACACTGTCATTTTATTGGGCTGTGGATTCCTGGCTATCATATCAAGCTTATTTTTTTATGCAAAACCAGTTACATGGACACAGACATTGTGTTTCATTAACTCCCATTAAGGATTCAACTTGTTGTGTGAATCTGACATAGCGGTTTCAGTCCAATTATAGCTGTATGTTGTATATAGTATGTTTAAAGGTGTGCTGTGTATGTGTACACTTTGAGAGCAAGCAACTAAATTTCATTTTTAATGTGTGCCATTGTGCCCACAGTAAAAAATGACAATAAAGATTATCTATCTATCTATCTATCTATCTATCTATCTATCTATCTATCTATCTATCTATCTATCATCCATCCATCCATCCATCCATCCATCCATCCATCCATCCATCCATCTATCTATCTATCTATCTATCTATCTATCTATCTATCTATCTATCTATCTATCTATCTATCTATCCATCACAGCCCTGCCCTGTTCATTTCTTGATTCCTTTGAAGAGATGACCAATTTAGATCTTCAGAATTTTTGGCCACGTCTTTATGACATGAACCTTAAATGGTTAAACGATGCTTAAGGATTACTCAAATCTAGAGAGGTTAAATCAATCCATCAGTGGATCTTAACCCTGACTAATAGATATCAAATCCCCTTGTTCAGACACAGGATACACAGGACAAAAGACTAATTTTCCTTGCCTTGCTTGTGAAAAATCCCTAGATTTGGCTGATCACGATGGGAGCAGAGTCGTACTTACAAAACCCAGTGACGCCATCTTTGAACTTAAAAGGGCATTGTGTTGAAATATTAATATGTTTTATTTTTTTTCACTTGAACTGGAAGAAACTCAAATCAATCGCACAGCTAGCCTTAAGTAAGGCAGTTCCTCTCAGTTACATGTCTTCATCTATGATTAGCCTACCTTACAAAGCTCTGCAGTTGAAATTATAGATGGAAGTTTTTCTGCTTTTCAGAAACTGAATCCTTTTGAGGACTTTCAATGATAAGGCTTAACTTCGGAGATGGCATCCTATGCCCCCTATATGTCTCACCTGTTCCAGGTGTTCCAGTTGCCAAGGTTGAAAAATACTGTTCTAGTTCTATTCCTCACCTGTTCCAGTATGGCAACTTTAAGATGTACGGACTTCAACTCCCAGAATTCCGCAGCCAGCTTCTGGGAGTTGAAGTCTACATATCTTAAAGTTGCCAATGTTGAGAAACAATGGATCAAGCAGGAAAATCTCAATTCAACTGCACCCTTAGCCATCCCTCTTAACACAACTTGCTCCACACGGTTGTTGTTGTGGGGGAAATAATGGGGAAGAAAGTGTTAGGCATTGCTTTCTGGAGGAATCGAAGGATTTATGTCAGGGAAACCAGCCAACCAATAAATAATAAAGTCCACTTTTCTCCCCAGTGGGAAATTGATTTAAAAGGGGGGGGGGTCTAGATTTTGGAGAGCATAGCCATTTGATCCTGATATCTTTTCCAGACCATTTAGCAAAATGAACTGTTAACAGTGTTACAGCTCTGGAGAACCCCAATAAAAATAAAATTCTGCAAAAAGAAAAAAAAACACTGAGTTTCCAGAACTACCATGATTCTTACATAGTAGGTCTCCACCTTCTAGTGCAGGGGTAGGCAACCTTGGCTCTTTTATGACTCGTGGACTTCAACTCTCAGAATTCCTGAGCCAGCTGTGCTGAGGGGAAAGGGAGAGGTTTCCAAGCTGAGCCGTGCTGGCTCAGGAATTCTGGGAGTTGAAGTCCACGAGTCATGAGGGGGGCCATAGTTCTCCCATGCTGGCTCAGGAATTCTGGGAGTTGAAGTCCACGAGTCATAAAAGAGCCAAGGTTTCCTGCTCCTGTTCTAGTGAAAAAGGAACTATGGAGGGTAATATTTAAGAAGCTTATTTCTTCTGAAATAGTAGCATGGAAATTTCACGATGGTCTGTTATCAAACAGGTTCCTAGACCCCCTTCAAAACTCCACTAAACCTATTGGAGTGTAATTATATCTCATTATTTGCAACGTTGACATGAATGCGACAGGATATGGTGGGGGGGGGGGAATTAGCATTGGCCCCATACCTGACAACTCTCTGAAATTTATAATTTGTATGTAATCTCACAAATAATTTTTGGAATAGACTCACCAAGGGCTGAATCAGTTACAGATAGTCCTCGACTTATAAACTTTATTTACTAACCGTTTGAAGTTACAACGGTTCTGAAAAAAAGCGACTGGTGAGCATTTTTTCACACTTTCCCACTGATCCAAATTTAGATGTTTTGCAAATTGACTCATAGTTATGACCGTTGCTGTGCCCCAGGGATATGTGATCCCCTTTTGCAAACTCAATGGGGAAGCAAATTCACTTAACAGTTGTTGTTACTAACTTAACAATTGCCGCGATTCACTTGACAATTGTGGCAAGGAAAGTCGTAACACGGGGCAAAATTCACTTAACAAGGGTTTCACTTAGTCACAGAAAACTGAGGGTTCAATTGCGGTCGTAAGCCGAGGACCAGCTGAATTTGTGATGATTTGCAACGTTTACATGAATGCAACAGGAGGAGGGGGAAAAAATAGCATCAACCTTTTGCCTAACAACTCTCTGAAACGTCTCATTTGTAGGTAAATTCACAGATCATTTTTGGAGTCAACTCACCCAGGGCTGAATCAGTGAACAAAGGAAAATAATTATACCCAAGGGGAGGAAACAGGCCAGCTACCTATCAGCTGAAGTTGAGCGCCCTTCTAAAGCCGAGCCTGGCAGCTATCCACATTAGGAGAAAGATGAGATGGCATCCATAAACACGCGAAGAATATCCAAGGAGAAATTGAATGACCTTGGAGTGTCCTTGTCCAGAAGCCCAACAGCCATCTTAAGCAGGAATTGAGTATGTCTAGTTTAATGAAAAGAAGGACTAGGGGTGACGTGACAGCAGTCTTCCAATATTTGAAGGGCTGCCCCAAAGAAGAGGAGGGGGGGGTCAACCTATTCTCCAAGGCGCCTGAAGGCAGGACAAGAAGCAACGGATAGAAACTAATCAAGGAGAGAAGCAACCTAGAATTAAGGAGAAATTTCCTGACAGTGAGGACAATTAATCAGTGGAACAACCTGCCTCCAGAAATTGTGGGTGCTCCATCACTGGAGGCTTTTAAGAAGAGATTGGACAGCCATTTGCCTGGGCAAGGGGTTGGACTAGAAGACCTCCAAAGTCCCTTCCAATTCGTTATTTTCTTATTCTGTTCAGCAGGCCTTGCAGGGGGGCGTTGGATGGATGAGCAGCAAAGGAAAAATGAAAACCAAAACTGCCTTCCTTCTCCTTAGTCCCGTGGAATTTTTCTGATATAAATGATATAAATCCCTGCCAATAAAAATCTAGCTTTGGATGTCCAACTGTCCTAATTTAACCTGCCCTTTAATAAGCAGAGTTACCCTTTTATGAATGCACGCAGAATAGGCGCTATTCGCTTTGTACGGTCACGTTTCCCGATAATCAGCTATCAAAGCTCGAAGGTCGTCACATGGCCCGGCCCACGTGCGGCCCACCCAACGCAGCCGTGCAGAAAGATCACCACGAAGGAAAAAGGGATGGAAGTCTAACATCCATCATTGCAGCTGTTCTCATTCCCCCCCCCCTCTCCAGCTGCATTACCAGGTTTGGGCCCAAATTCAACACCATTATTATTAGTCCATGATGATGGGGACCTGCAAGCTTGGACTGGGGTGTGTGTGTGTGTGTCATTCTGTGGCTCTTACCAAGGCAGAGACAGTAGCTCAACCTTGGTGTGTGCCCCATGTGTGAGGTGCAGCTGAATCCGGGGGCCCATCTTCCTTGCAAAGCCATCACCCCTCATTGCCGGAAGGAAGGAGAATATATAAAATCTATAGCTAACGCGGAAGCGGGGGTGGATTTGCTGCAGTGCAGAAGAGAGGAGAAAGAAACCCATCCGGAGGGCAGCCATTTTTCCTAGTGGAAGCTACTCGAAGGCAATCGAAAAAGGGGACGTGCAGAAGGCTGTGTTTTGGCCACAGGAATTGCAGACCCTTTAGAAGGTGAAAAAAGGGGGGGGGGTTGTCTTAGAGATTTGAGGGGGGGGGAGGCTGTCAACAGCAGGCTGTTTAGTTGAAAGGGTCTCGGAAGGAGGGGGGTCCTGCACCCTAGCCGATGCTCCGGGGGGGGGGGCCCTTCCGGGACTGGGCTGCCACCCCCAGATTCTGCAGTGCTGCGTCGGTGCAGGAAGGAAGCGATCCCTGGCAGAGTGCCAGAGCTGCAGCAGTGCCTGAAGAACTGCAGCGCCCATGCCAAGGGGAAGAGGAGGGGCAGACATGCACCCCCCCCTTTTCCTTCACCTCTCAGAGGCGGCCTGCTGACCTTTGGGCAGCCAGCTGGAGGTCACCGTGACCCAGCGGAAGAGGGCGAATGGGAAGGCCGAGGCCAAGAGACCCCCTTCTCTTCAGACCTTCCAAAAGACCCCCCCCCCAGAACCTGAATTTCTCAGGAGCCAAGACACAAGGAAAGGGCCATTGGAGGGAGGGGTGTCCTGCTTGCTCCCAGCCAGGTCGGAGAGAATCCCCTTCCCCACCGCTGTGGCTGATCTGTTTTTCTCCTCTTCCTTCCCTTCTTTCTTTTCACCCCCTTCCCATCCTCAGCAAAAAAAAAAAACCCTCCGTTTTTTGCTGCAGAGGATTGTCTCTCCACAGCTGCAGGCACCAAATATAGAAAGCAGAAATGGGGAGGGGGGTGAGCAAAAGGGGAACCGGTGGGGCCGCCATGGAGGAAGCTGGGAAGCCAGTCACCTCCTGCCCTTAATTTCTTTCCTGGTGTATGTTTGTGTGTGTGTGCACGTGTGTGTGTTAATCGGGGGGAGGGAGGGGGAAACTCCAGCCACCTTAAAGTGACCCATGCATTTCCTTTCTTCACTTCAATCTCCCCCCCAACCCAGCCACCATCTTTTTTTTCTCTGCCTCTGGCAAGGTTACAGCTGCCGCTGCTGCAGGCGTCCCTTCCTCCTTCGGATCCGACTGAAAGGCAGAGCAGCTGCCTTTCTGGACCCCGGCCATCTGTCTCTCCTCTCTCCCCCCCCCCACACACCCACCCACCCCCAAGCTACCCACACATATCTCTGGGGCAGGCAACTTTCTCCCCATCCCTGTCCTTGAATTTTCCTTCTCCATTGATTTCCCCCTATCTTCTCGGTGGGGGGGGGTTCACTCCGGAATAACTGCGGGGTGGGCTCCCTTTTTCCCCCACGGATGCTTCCTGGCTCCCACCTGCCCTCGGATCCCAGCAGCCCCTTTGAGGAGAACAACGGAAAGGAGAGGAGGGTGGTGGGGAAAGGGGGGGGGCTGTCTCGTGCCTCCCGGCTGTGGGGATCCTAGGACTATTTGGGGGGGGGGGAACTGCCGCAGCCTCCGCCGATGCGCCCCCTCCCAGCAGGACTGGTGTCCCCTTCTGCATATCAATGAGGGAGGAAGAGCGCCCCCTCCTCGCTGTAATAGTCTTCACCTCACTCTTTTTCTCTCCCAATTATTATTTTTTAAATACCCCCCCCTTCCTCTTCGCTCTCTAGCCGTCTTCGTCGCCCTCCTTTCTACTCGTTCCCTATTTTCTCTCTTTCCCACCCGGTGACTCATCTTTCTCGTCCATTTGCCCACCCTGGGCTGACATATTGTCACCTGTGGGGAAGAACAGGGATCCGGGCGCCCTGCTACTTCCCAGCTAGGTGTTCAGCACACCTGGCTTTCCCTACCCGGGGCGCCCCGATTCCTAAGCAGCCCTCTCCGCCTCCGCCGCCCCCTCCCCCCCCAATCAAGAAAGGTCTCATAAAGGAGAATTCAGGTCCTTCAGACCTTATCTGGGTCCGTCACTGTCACCCAAATAAGACACGGTCATATGTTCTCGCGCGCGCACACGCACACACACACAAACACTCTCACATCTAGGCAGGCACATAATTTTTTCGAGGTTCAGGGGAGGGGTAGAAAAGGGGGGGCGATATGACGGTCCAGCTCAAAATAATTTCCAAACTGCATGGAAAGGTCCAACACGCCCCGAGTCTGAAGCCAAGTGAGAGAGAGGGAGAGAGAGAGAGAGAGAGAGGGAGAGAGAAAGAGGGAGAGAGAGAGGGAGGGAGAGAGAGAGAGAGGGAGGGAGGGAGAGAGAGGGAGGGAGGGAGAGAGAGAAAGAGAGAGAGAAAGAGGGAGAGAAAGAGAGGGAGAGAGAGAGGGAGGGAGGGAAAGAGAGGGAGGGAGGGAGAGAGAGAGAGAGAGAGGGAGGGAGAGGGAGGGAGGGAGGGAGGGAGAGAGAGAAAGAGAGGGAGAGAAAGAGAGGGAGGGAGGGAGGGAGGGAGGGAGAGAGAGAAAGAGCAGAAGGGGGGAAATGGGGGGGCGGTATAAATGCATCCTTGCTCTCAGTAACGAAGGGAAATCGAAGCCCACCGCTCTCCATCCGGTGACCTCTGCACCCCTTGGATTACGAACCCCCATCGTCCCCACCCGGCAGCCCGCCGGCTGAGGATGATGGGTGCTGCCTCCCAACCTCTCTGAAGGGCGCAGCCTGGAGGAAAGCGGAGCCCCCCACCCCCACAAGACACCTGTCGATCCGGACCGACGCGCGCTTCACAATGCAGAGTCGGCAACAGGCCAGGTTGATTCGGAGGGACGTCCTTGTCGGGGGCTATCCGGACCGACCCTCTCGAGGCGGACCCTGTAGGGGACCTGTCCCGGTTTGCGTGTCTGTGGAGGGGGGGGGGAACCAAATTGCCCGGGAAGAGGAGCTACCCCCTCCCCACAGAGAAACAAAGCGCATCTCTAAGGGGAAAGGAAAACCCTCTCCGGGGTGGGCGCCCAGAAGCCCACCGGCCCAGCAGGGGAGGATGGGCTAGAAAAGGCCACGCCACTGCAAGGGCGCTCAGCTGACCGGGCATCTCCTCTGCCGCTTCGGCTGGTCGTCTGCAGGAGGCAGATGCGGGTCAGGGGCATGTGGGGGTGGGTCTCCAAGGGGCTGGGGACGAGGGACTGCGACTTACCCCCATCCTGGTGGCTTTGGCGTCTCAGCCTGGGTGAGCCAGACTCTCTTGGGGGAAGAAGCTACGCCCGGCAGGCAAGCGGAGGGCCGGGTGGATGGAAGGAAGGAAGGAAGGAAGGAAGAAGGGAAGGGGGGGGGGGAAAGAGCGGGAGCGAGAGAGCGAGAGACGGACGAGGGGAGAGGAGGGAGCTGCCGGTGCCCCCAGCCAGGGATGCTGTGCCCACGGCTGCCAGGCACGGAAGGACGGGAGGCAGCGCACTTCGGGCGCTGCTGTCTGAACCAGGGCAGGCTGGCCAGCCAATCAGCGGCCGCTTCCCCCTCCCCGGCCCACCGCGAAGCCCCGCCCCTTTTACTGCAGAATTCACCTTGTCCAAGGTGGGGGGGGGGAAGGAGCCGGGGATCCCCCAGCTTGACCGAGGCAGCCTGGCTAAGTCCTCCCCCCTCCTCTGCCCCACAGAAGCTGCAGATGGTGGTGGCTACATCCCAGCGACGTGATAGACAAGGGCCTCCAGGCAAATCTATGCCTCCTGGATGCCCTTCCACCCCCAGTGCCCTCCCTCACGCCCCCCCTTCTGTGTGCACACACCAACCCCTCTAGGTAGACCACCTCAAGGTCTAAAGCAGGGGTAGGCAACCTTGGCTCTTTTATGACTCGTGGACTTCAACTCCCAGAATTCCTGAACCACCATGGGGGAACTATGGCCCCTTCATGACTGGTGGACTTCAACTCCCAGAATTCCTGAGCCAGCATGGCTCAGCTTGGAAACCTCTCCCTTTCCCCTCAGCATGGCTGGCTCAGGAATTCTGGGAGTTGAAGTCCACCAGTCATAAAAGAGCCAAGGTTGCCTACCTCTGGCCTAGGCCTAGGCCGCTTTATGACTGGTGGACTTCAACTCCCAGAATTCCTGAGCCAGCATGGCTCAGCATGGAAACCTCTCCCTTTCCCCTCAACATGGCTGGCTCAGGAATTCTGGGAGTTGAAGTCCATGAGTCATAAAAGAGCCAAGGTTTATCCCTGAACTAGGGGCACCCTTGTGAATAAGGACCCCCCCAAATCCAGCCCGGACTTGGAAGAGACACACTGAGGTTTGGCTCTTTTATGACTCGTGGACTTCAACTCCCAGAATTCCTGAGCCAGCATGGCTCAGCATGGAAACCTCTCCCTTTCCCCTCAGTGTGGCTGGCTCAGGAATTCTGGGAGTTGAAGTCCACAAGTCATAAAAGAGCCAAGGTTGCCTACCCCTGGTCTAAAGGATCAACCCTCCCACCTCCCTTTCTTGTCCCAGCAGAGACCCACAAGCTCAGTTCCCCGTGTTCTGCGCCAGGCCCCAATCCACAGAGGGGGGGGGGTGTTAAGCGCACAACCCCTGGAAGTCACCCAGAACTGCACAACCCCCCCCCCAAGCCACCCCTTCCCAGTCGACACACTCTGCTGTAGAGTCATCCCAGCACAATCCAATATAATGCAGCTTCTAGGCTGCGTTCACACAACACAATTTAATCAGGTAAATTTCGGATCTCGGGGTGTCAGTTGGGGCCTTGGGTTTCGACCTTGGCTTGGATTGTGGTCCAATACGTAGTGAGCGCATTGTGAGTCAGTATGTTACATGAGGCGGAAACTGGGTTATTTCAGTCACCAGGTTGAACGTGTTGTGGGAATGCAGCTATTAACCCACATATGAGAATACGGAATGTAGTCACAGACAAGCACCAAATATAAACCAGAGGGTAACCACAACAGAAGAGTAATATGAAGCTTTGCTTCAAAGCTTCGTTTCTGATCTTTGCACTTACACAACTCATGGAACAAATGAGAAACAATCCTCTATTGAGGAACATCTGCTACTCATACCAGATTCTGTAGTTCTACTCAGGACTACTCAAATATATTTTTAGCTTGGTTGGAGATAGAAAGCACGGTAACAAGAGAGGCGAGGCCCAGCCAGAAGCTAACTCTAACCCAGTGGTTCTCAACCTTTTTAATGCCGCTACCCCCAACCGGTCGTAAGTCGAGGACTACTCAACCGGTCGTAAGTTGAGGACTACTCAACTGGTGCAGCACCGTTTGCAGAACGGGACTTTTGGCGGGCTCAGCAGGGCAGAGACAGCCTGGACAATTCCTATTGGCTTTTGAAAGCCAATAGAATTAGACTCTATTCAAGAGAGTCTATTCTATTGGCTTTCAAAAGCCAATAGAATAAAAGGGAGTAGCACAGCTAAGGAAAAGGGGGAAAAAATGGCGGACTTCATTGTTTGGCGACCCCCGTGAAATGGTCGTTCGACCCCAAATGGGGTCCTGACCCACAGGTTGAGAACCACTGCTCTAACCAGAGGCAAAAAGTAAATTATACAAAAAATATGTGGTCCCAAACCTCAGCTACTTTAGTCGGATGCAGCTTTAAGATGTGTGGACTTCAACCCCAGAATTCTGGCTGGGGAATTCTGGGAGTTGAAGTCCACACATCTCAAAGTCGTCAAGTTTGAAAAACACTGCACTAGTTTGTTCCTATAAATAAAAAAGAGGAAAAAAAATCTAATAACTTACGGTGTATCAACAAGACCTTATGGCATTTTTGACCTCTGCAAATGCAGATATTACTAAACGCTGACTGGGTTCACACAAACACCTAAGCTAATTATTAAACCTACCAATTGCCTGATTTCCCCAAGAGACTAAATCCTAAATTAGCTAAATAGTCTCAATTCATCCAATATATAGGACACACAAGCTAACCCAATACCCAAATATTTTGCTGCAACTGCTAGAATTCTGAAGGATCGTCTAGTCTCAAACAAGGAAATCCAACTTTGGCCACGTCAAAGACCTGTGGACTTCAACTCCCAGAATTCCCCAGCCAGCTGGGGAATTCTGGGAGTTGAAGTCTACAGGTCTTCCATTTGCCAAGGATGGACACTCCCTGGCTTTAGTCACCATTTCATACTTGTCCTTTGGCTTTTTTTTTTTTTTTTTTTGGAATCTTGCTATCGATTTTAGATTCAATCAATTTGGAAAAAAGAAGATTTACGAGAAACGGATAGACACGGGGACGTCTGCCTTTGAAAGGGGAAGTGTTCCTTGGCCCAGCAATACAGGAAATTGCGAAAGAATGACTAAAGAAATTTAAGGGGGGAGCTTTCAGCTTGATGAGCTGGCAAGGGTATGCCACGTTCTCCTTCCCCAATCCTATTCTCTCCCCCCCCCCAATCTGCAGAATCTGCTGTGAATTTTGGAAGAGTTACACTACACAGCAATCTGTTGGTACAGGTCGTCCTCCCCTTACAACGGTTTGTTTAGTGACTGTTTGAAGTTACAGTGACACTGAAAAAAAATGGAGCTGTGACTGTTTTTCATATAACCGTGTTTTTTTTATTCTTATTTTTATTAATTTTTTTTCTCATCAACATATATTAATTTTTCCAATCAACAAGTTGTCTGGAGTTTGCTAAGCTAATATATGTTCAATTCCTAATCCTTCATTTTTTTTTCTCTAACCAAGAATAAAATAAATTCCAAATTTGATAGTAGTCTGCATCTTCTTTGTCTTTCAACCTCGTATAACCGTTTTTAATAACCCTTGCAACTTCCCCTGTGGTCAGGTGATCAACCGACTCATATTTATGACTGTTGCAGTGTCCAGGGGATCATGCGATCAGCCTGTGACCTTCTCACAAGCAAAGTCCATGGGGAAGCCAGATTCACTTAACAACTGCAGTGATTCACTTAACAGCTGTAGCAAGAAAGGTCATAAAATGGGACCAAACACTTGCTTAGCAACTGTCCTGCTTAGCAACTGTCCTGCTTAGCAACTGTCCTGCTTAGCAACATAAATTTTGGGCTCAGTTGTGGTTGTAAATCAAGGACTGCCTCTACTGATTTTTCAACCCAAAGGATCGTCCTGTTTTCCAACTCTAAATCCCATTCCCCACCTCCCCGCCTCTACGCCGGTGGTCCCAGATCAAGGCACCGGCCAGGATTCAGAGCGTCCAGGCCTTAGTACCAATTTTTAGTCTCCTTCATCCTTCACCCAATCTCCATGGCAACTAGATGGGGGGAAGCCATGTGACTCAGTCACTGTGGCAACCGGGAAGAAGGGGTTTCCACAGCAGCCAGGGGAAAAGAAAGGGAATATGGGCCTTAGGAAGGAGATGTCCTGCTTCTTGATGAGGATATATCCTCTCTGGGCATCTCAGCGGCTGCAAAATGCTTCAGCCCAGTCTCAGTAGGAGAACATCTCTTTCCCCCATCAATACTACAAGAGCTATTAATTGATCGAGACTAAGATTCACCCAGGGACAGAAGGAGAAAAAGACCACACTTTCCCCCTGTTCCTTTCAAGCTGGCCTCCTCCACATCACTGGGCCTACACCTCCCGTTATCTCATGCAAGAAAAACTATAAGTTCCAGGCGGCCTACAGGGTGCCTCTGTAGAAAAACACAGTCACTGTTTTGGAGAAGTGATGTGGTAACTGTTGGTAAAGCTTGAGATCGAGCCAGGACGATAAGAAAGGGTGAGAAAGAATTCAAGACTACTTCACCTTGAGTCTTGTTGTTGGTACACAAAGGAAAGATGTCCAGCCTCTGTTAGGCTTTCAAGATTCTGCTATTGTAGCCTATACCAGAGGTGGAGAAGAACGATGGCCGCTTTATGACTTGTGGACTTCAACTCCCAGAATTCCTGAGTCACCCACGCTGGCTCAGGAATTCTGGGAGTTGAAGCCCACAAATCATAAAAGGGCCATCGTTCCCCATTCCTGGTCTATACCAGTAAAGTTCTAGTATTTTGTTCTATCATGTTTCCTGGCCTACTTTTAAAGGCTGACAGCTGACACCCCCCCCCCACACACACAACTAACCTGTTTATTCAGTATCACAACCAAATCACTTCCAAAGTGCAATCAATCATTGCATCAGTGAAGAGAGGGAAGGGAAAAGGTGATTCACTGCTCACCTCCAACTTCAGCTAGGAATCTTTGGGAAATAAAAAATAAAAAACAAGACCTAGAAGAACAACAGGGGAAGTGAAAATGTGCTTGGCTGGGGCATATCAGGAGATTACAATAGTGCAGGGGTGTCAAACTGCCGGCCCCCGGACCAGATGCGTCACGCGGACGCTGCACCCACCCCAGCTTCAGCAAGGGGGAAAAAGTCATGATACGTTGTGACACAACACGTGATGTGGCGAGTTTTACACCCCTTC